TACTATATAAATATAAAGTTAACTAAGTAATATGTGTTATTATATATATATATATATTACATGTAATATAAAGTTAACTAAGTAATATGTGTTATTACAGGATGTAACAATTTGGTATTTCTTGAAACGGGAAATACCAAAGTTGTTCAATTAAGCTTTTTCAAACATGTTGTACTTATCGAATAATAAATCGTTCGTTTAAAATTGTCAATAAATATTTTAACAAACTTTTAAATAGTATATAATGACAAAAGTAGGTTTTTTAAAACTAAATTTAATATTTATGATTTAAAAACTATATTAGAACAAGTTCTACAAGCAAGAAACTTAACTTTAATTTTACCGCCAATTTCATTTGTTTTGATATAATAAAGTTCTTAGCAAAATGGCGGAAAACAAGGTTTTTATAAAATCATCAATATTTGTTTTTCTTAAATAACTTCCAATACCGCAGGAGACCGCAGTAATCCTTTTACATTCCTAAAGTAGAAATGTTTATTAACTGGAATATATATATATATATATATATATATATATATATATATATATATATATATATATATATATATATATATATATATATATATATATATATTTGTGGAACTCGGTGGAACACTTTTTTAGCTGATATATAAACAAAAAAAATACAATTATTTTCTACTTTTTTTTAGAGAAGTCTTTAAATTTAAACGAAAAAATCAGACTTTTTTTTTCTTTTTAGTATATTTGAAATATAAAGAGTCAAAATATTATTTTAAAAATAAATATACACTTTTATTTAAATTTCAAGTTCTCTAATTTAGTTGAATAAAAACCTCACATTTTTCAGATTTCTTTAAAAATAATACCAAATTTTTTCACTTCTTTTACCTATAAAATACAAAATAAAAGCTTTATGAAAAAATTATTTTTACTTTTGAAATAAAAAATCATTGTCTTTTAATTTTTTTTTTTTTCTTTTTTTCTCTGTTTACATAACATAAGAATTTTACAGATTCTACTACATAATATAAAATTTAACAAAATAAGTAAAACAGATAGGGACTCAAAGAAGATGAGGATGACAGAACGTCATCGCAATCTTTCATAGAACCCCTTTAACAAGAATTAATTAAAATATCGTAATATGACATACAAAATAAAAATGTCAATAAAATATCATAACAAAATGCGTAATCCGCTGATAAAAATTGTCAAGCAACAAACTAAAGTAGAAACAAAACAAAAACTTATTTAAGAGAATTTATCCAAAGCATTATTAACAAAAAATGTTTCACCGGTTTTAAAGATTTCTTTTTTTGTTAAAAACTTGAGTGAACTTAACGAACTCACCGTACCTTTGAACTCTTTCTGAAAAATATTTCATACCTTTGGACCTCTATATAAAATGCTGTATTTTGAATACTTATTTATTATCCTTGGCAGTTTATATGTGTTCAACATATTCGCTCTATGATTATAGTTATCATTTTTATTTAACTCAAACTTATTATTAAAGTTTATAGGAGAGATATTGTGATTGTAACGATACATGAAAATTAAATGCTGGTAGATATTTATTTCAAACACATTCATCATTTTCATATCTTTCATCTAGGGATTAGCGTGTTCCCGCCTATTTTTAAAGTAAATGATTCTACAGGCATGTTTCTGAAAACTATAAAGTTTCTTAAGCTTTGCTGTTTGAGTACTTGCCCATGAAATGTTTGCATAGCTGATGAGGCTGTGAATTAGCCCAAAGTAGATTAATTTAAGACTATTTGTATTAATGTACGAGCGAACTCGATACATTAAACCTATGATTTTGGTAATTTTTGACTGGATATATATTATATGAGGAAGCCAGGATAATTTTTTATCAACAACGATTCCCAAGAATCTTATATTGGATTGCTTTTTAATTAATTTATCATTTATAAATAGGTTCGGCAACTTGAGAGGAAGATTTTCTTCTTGTGTTTTTTTATGAAAAAATATATAGTTTGTTTTCTCGTTATTAAGTGAGAGTTTGTTAGCTTTAAACCAGTTATTTACTTTATTTAGTTCAATATTCATGTCCGCATATAATTTTTTGATATCGTTGTTGGTAAGAAATAAATTCGTGTCATCTGCAAACATGACTGAATTAAGTTTTAAGGATGCATTACAGAAGTCATTTATATATATTAAAAAAAGAAGTGGACCAAGAATCGATCCTTGCGGAACCCCACTTACGACATTTAACACTCCAGATTGGGCATTATTTACATATTGTTTTCTGTTTGTAAGATAGCTTTTAATCCAATAATAAGTTTTATTAACTATTCCGTAATGTCTTAATTTATCTAAAAGAATACAGTAGTGCACTGTATCAAATGCTTTTGATAAATCAAGAAATACTCTTAAAGTAAATTTATTATTTTCAAAACCATTAGTTATTTGATTTACTATTTCAATGATTGCATGCTCAGTAGAGAGATTTTTTTGAAAACCAAACTGATTTGGGTAAAAAAAATTGTTTTTAATGAAGTAGTCATTGATTCTTTTATAAACTACACGTTCGAATAGTTTTGAAAATACAGAAAGTACTGATATAGGCCTGTAGTTTGTAATGTCAGAATGATCATTACATTTGTACATTGGGGTTACTTTTGCTAATTTAAGTACATCCGGAAATGTCCCAGAATTTAACGAAAGCTTTAGTATATGTATTAGAGGTCTTTTAAGACTGTGTTTGTTTGCAATAACTATATTACTAGATATTTCATCAAATCCCGGAGCCTTTTTTTTTTTAACGAGGAAAAAGCTGCCTCAAATTCCTCATAGTTTAATTCATAATCAAGCATAATAACATTATTCGTTGGTTTAAGGAAGGTTTTAAATGATACAGATGTTGGTATTATTTTTTTTACAAGATTTGGACCAATACTTGTAAAATATTTAATAAATTCTTCCAAAATTTGTTTTTGGCTAAATATATCGTTGTTTTCATTAACAATTCGTTTAGGTAGAGAAGGTGAATTTAGTTTTTTTCTTCCCATTATGACATTGATGATGGACCATGTTTTTTTGCAATCAAATTTGCATTTGTTAATTTGATTACTGTAATATTTTTTTTTTTTGCATTTTTAATGAGATCTTGGTAAAAATATTTATAATTTTTGTAATTTTTTTTATTATCATTGTTTTTATTTTTCAGAAATTTATTGTAAAGTTTTTGCTTTTTTTTTGAGCACTTTAATAACGATTTATCCATCCACGGATTAGCAATTGCTTTTGATTTAATTCTTATATTCTCTTAAGGACAGGTTTCATTAAAGTACTCCAAAAATGTACTTAAAAAAGCATTGTAAGCTCCATTTGTATCTTGACATTTATATATGTTGTTCCATGTTTCTTGTTTTAGTCTGTTTGTTAATTTATTAGTGTTACTCATTTTTAAATTTCGTTTTTTCAAATGTATGATTTTTGAATGATAATCAGTCATAGCTTTTAGATTTTTTGTTATTATAAATACCGGGAAATGATCACTAATATCTGTCATAAATATACCGGTTTCAAATGTCGTTTCTATATAATTATTAATAAAAATATTGTCTATTGCTGTTGCCGAGGTTTTTGTTACTCGCTTTGGTTTATTAACCGTTGACAAGACATTCAATTTAAAAAGCATATCAAAAAAAGATTTTATTTTTGGAAATTTTGTGTTACAAAGAGCATCAAGATTTATGTCACCAGTAATATATAATGTTTTATTTTCTTTATTTATTTTTATAATCTTTATTTATTTTTATAAATTTTATAATTATAATATTATCTAACAAAGGGCACTTAATTTATAAAAAAGTGGTGAGGGGTTTATTGCCATTTTTTTGTTGTTTCGAGTGCCGAAACTGTGCGCCGGTTCTTCAGAGAACCATTAGAGAATATTAAGAACCCGTAGGTTCTTTAAGGAACCTTAAATTTTCTCCAAGAACCTTTAGGTTATTTAAAGAACCGGCAAAGAATCGCGAAGAACCTTTTTAGATTTACAGTGTGATGTTGAGTTTATCACTGATTATATCAACAATAAAAATATTATTCATTTCTGTTGCAACATCCATATTTTTAACGTCAAATCTAATAATAGACGAATAAAATGTTCTTGATGACTCTTACTTAGCTTTTAAAGATTTTTCTTACTGCCAATTTAGCCTTGCTTAATCAATTAATTTGCGTAGGTTTTTGGACCTAAGCTTGGATAGATAAAACACTACCTTTATTTTCCAAACAAGCTCTGTATGTGGAGTTCGATAATTTACGTTACATTTGCAATAAAGAATGAGCACAGTCACCACAAGATTCTTTGCAAGCAACATTAATCTCACTGCAGTAAACAATTCTGAGATGGATATAAATAACACTGCATAAACTTTATTTATTATTATTATCTTGGTTAAATTTCTTGAGTTTGTTGATGAAGAGAGCTCTACTTCCTTTTTTTAGATACGTTGTCTTGATTTTAGAGAAAAGATAATATTTAAAAAAAAAAAACATTCTATTATAATAAAGCATAGGGTTAATCAATATTATAAATAGTCATTATGAACATTTGTAACACAAACAGTCAACATTTAGGGAAATACACAATATTTTTATTTTTAAAGAAATGTTTTCCCGGTTGCAAGAGCTGTTTTCTTACAAATAAACATTATACCATTCAACTTAGACTTTATGAATACATAGGAAAAGTGACATACTGAATCAAAAATAGAACATGCATGAGTATGATATACCCCAATTTACATACCACATGTTTTACTTAAAACTCTTTTTACGTTGTGTTATAGTAATAACTAGTTGAAGATATTTTTGTTTAACAAAAAATCAATTCTGGTAAAAAATATAAAATCTCTTATAAAGATAATAGATTTAACTTTTGTTACGTAATGTATGCTTATTTTTACATATGTTTGCGTTTTTTTTATTGTTGCTTCTTTAAATTATGTGTGCTTTATTTTTGTTTCTTTATGTAATTTCAGCTGTCAGCGGTTTTAGTGAAGATCGAATCTCAAAAAGTGTTCTTCATAAAATCATTCAGTTTCCTGGAGTCATTCAAGAAAAAGAGGTTAATTACAATAACGAGAAAGTTTTAGTGTATTTGTACGAAAAAGAAAAACCATGTGATTATTTCACCCTTATACTTGAAGGGCGCGTAGAGGTGACTATTGGCGTTGAACAGATAACATTTGAATCCGGCCCGTTCTCAATTTTTGGACAGGCTGCTCTTTGCGAAGATGAGACGAGTGATCATTTTATTCCTGATTATTCAGTAAGAGTGATTAACAATGTACAATTTTTCAAAATTAGTCGTAAATTATATAACTCGTGTAGAACGGCGACTAAAATGGAGCAGGAAAATAAACTCAATAACACTCTTCCAAACTACGACGAAATATTTAACGTACCTGCAACAGTAATAAAAAATAATGCTGTAAAAGAGGAAAAAGAAAATGTTGAACAATTAAGCAATTACCGTGAAAGCAACTTAAAAACGTAAAAAAAAATTATAATTTTTTTTTTTTAATTTAGCATTTAATTGTTTTGGTTTTTTTATAATTAAACTTAAATACTTTTATACATTCAAAAATAAACCAGTTTATAAAAACGAAACATTGTAAAAAATTTAAATTTTTTAAAAAACGTAGATGATCATTAAGCCATTAAGAGCTGCATATCATTTATGCTTTTACAATACTAAACTTTAATTATAGTTATACCTAAAAGCCAAAAGTGCTATGCAAATCTTTATTTAAAATCGTGACTTTTGGTATCGATGAATTTGTCGTAATAAGCAGAATCTTTGAATTACAACATTGTATTTTCGTTATACAATAATACATTAAAAAACAATTAGAATTACTTAATATTACTTTATTCACATAATTGTCTAGAATTTTATTTTAAATTCTTAATAAAATTGCACAAAAGTGGTATGACCACTAATTTGTTAGTTCGCCTCCCCAATACTATGAAGACCACAGTCAAGAAGGCTACTTTAAATGTGGTGAAAACCTTCTCTCAACTCCAAAACACGCGGTACTACCAGGGACGTGGTAAAGAACAAACTTGTAGCTTTTCGCTTAGGAGACGGATTAGGATTAAAAAACTCCTTGTTTTTTGATTCTTTAGTATGGTAATCTGAGGCAAAGCGAGACACTTTCAGGGAGAATGTTCATAACTTGAGAAGTATCACGTTTCACAAGAAGAAATTTTGCAGGCCACTAGCACATTATGTGTCTTATGATCTCTTAAATATTTGTGGTGATAGGTTGTAGCATTAGTACATAATTAAATTCAAAATGGCAACAACTACCTTGTCTCACTTTCCCCAAAACCTGAGGCAAAGTGAGACAGATTTCATTTGAAGAAAAAACTAAGTAAAAATATAATTCTCAATAAAATTAAAGCAGACTTTGATAAATTCAATCTGATTAAATATAAGAACGCAAATAAAAACACAAAAGTGTCATTTTAGAATGTAATTTTTCCTTTTAAATCAAAAAACATGATAAAAAAAATATCAATCAAAAATATAAAATAACAAAAAATCAAAATCAAAATTTTTGGGTATTATTGCACCATTTACCTTGATAAACTGGACAAAACCATTCCTCTCCATTGTTTACATCTTTTTCAATCAAGCATTTCTTTAATTTTCTTTTCTTTTTGTTCTCTTTTATATTTCTCTTGTTTAATTTATTGTCATTGTTCTTTTCCAGTAAATTTTTTTTTTTATTGTTCTTTTTTCTTTTTTTTTTCCGATTGTTTTTTTCTTATTGTTCTTTTCAAGTAAAATTTTTTTCCTATATGGAGAACTAGTTATATTCTAAGATTTTTTAGGTAATTTTTTTTTTGGAGGATAAAGTTTTGGAATTTGAAATATGTCTTCAAAAAAAATTGATGAAGTAACAGTGGTCTCTGAAAAGCTTTCAATTGGCCTTAATTTATCGTGACTCATTAATTCTAATGTAGTCGTCTCTGGATGCTGTAAAGTTTTACTTTCTTTTTTGTTTTCACGTTTAAAGTGAATTTCATGAGGTATATGGATAACTTGATTTTATAATTATCGTCCTTGGATATTTATTTTCTAACAGATGCCGAATAAATGGGACAATTCTAGTTGCTCTAAAACTTAAAGTAGCATTTTCCATATTAGCAGCTCTTAAATATGTTTCATTAAAAATTTCTCCAAGATTTTCTGTTTGAATTCGTCTTCCTGAATGGATTTGCATCCATCTCGTACATGCTTAATTAAAATAGGTTCTCAAAGGCTTGAAAAATCCACGGTCCAATGGTTGAAGTTTATGAGTTGTGTGTGATGGTAGCGATAGCAAAAACAATCTATTGTCACAAGCATAGTCTATAAGTTTTAAGCTTTTGGTATGAGAACGACGACCGTCAAGTATAAGTAAAACTTTGTTGATCAAGGTGCATCGCACATGTTTAACAAAATGATGTATATATTTAAGAAATAAATCAGTATTAACCCAGCCATTTTCTGAGCATCCTTGAATAGTTCCAACTAGAGCATTATCTGTGAGTAATAATTTCTTTTTCTTGCGCTTAAATATCATCATGGGTGGTACATAATGACCAACAGAATTACATGCATATAAAATTGTTGTTGTGACTCGTTTTTCCCCACTTGTCACTGATGAAACACACCGTTTTCCTGTAGATGAGATAACTTTTAATGGCTTATGGACGCATGACAACCCAAACTAATCACAATTAAAAATTTGATGTGGCTCAAAGTGATATTTATCTAAAAATAAGTATCACTTTGAGCGACATTCTTCTCTAAATTACCAAAATAGATTTTAATATTATCTTCGTTCAAAACAAATACTCTGTTTATAGAAATTGCTTCTGGTTTTAAAAAGCATTGCACAAAGTCTTCTCCTGCTAATTTACTACCTTTGTTAAAAGGGTTTGGATTTGAATTTTTTTTGCAGAATTCAAACATTATCAATCTAATATCCATCATTGAAAGAACATAAAATGAATTGTCCATATCTTTAATATACTTATTTAGAGCTTGTTCTTGATTATCAGAAAGCACTTTTCTAAATCTTCCAAGTAAATTAGTATGTTAACTACTTTCAAGTGTAGCCTTTTTAACACGCCGATGTAAGGAATCTTTTGGCACACTAAAGTTTTTACAAGTTTTTCTTAAAGATATCTGCTTCAACTTCAACTGCTATAATTGCATTTTTCATGTCATCTTCGTTCCAGTTAGTTTGATTAGTTTTTCTCTTGTAGTTTCTCATTTAAAAATTTCTTGTCACTAAATTACAACAAAGTTATGTAACTGTTACTTTTTCAAAGAAATGAGAGGAATTAGGAAAGGTTGGATCGATAATGATTAAGAACAATTATCCAAAAATATCTACAAAAAAGGATATTTTTTAAATTTTTTCTTGCTTTTTAAATTTTTTTTCTTTCTATATCTAGAAATGAAGATTTATACATAATTTATGAACTCAAATCACATATCTCAACATTAAAAATACATAGATCTCCAAATTTTCCCAAACTGTTCAATACATATATATGTAGAGAATAAACAAGAATCTTGATAATTGAATGAATTTTTATAGTACATAAAAAAACCAACATCAGAAAATAAAATTATTTATAAAAATTATGCCAAAATGTTTGAGTCAAAGAAAAAAATTTAAAAATAGATATTACTATGATTTACTAGAAAAATATAAACATAATTCAAAACGCACATGGCAAGTTATGAGTCAAATTACTGGAAATAGTAAACATAATTCAAAACGCACATGGCAAGTTATAAGTCAAATTACTGGAAATAGTAAACATAATTCAAAACGCACATGACAAGTTATAAGTCAAATTACTGGAAATAGTAAACATAATTCAAAACGCACATGGCAAGTTATAAGTCAAATTACTGGAAATAGTAAATTAAAATTATGCTCTGTGCCTAACACTATAAAAGTTGAAGGCGTATTTTTATATGAACTCAAACAAATAGCAAGAGAATTGAATATATATTTCGTGTCTGTTGGCCCAAGTTTAGTTAAAAATATTCAAAATATGATTAATCCAATAAATGATTACGTGTTTCCATTATTTTCTAGTTTCAATAAATTTGAAGTATCTTCTTCAGAATTTGAAAGTGCTTTTAAAATGCTTATAACTAATAAAGCAGTTAGTCCTGATGATATAAATTGTAATATAGTCATATATTCATACAATACCGTAAAACATATTCTTTTTAAAATTTTTAAATGTTCTATAAATCAAGGAATTTTCCCCGATCAATTGAAAATAGCCAAAATAACACCTATATTTAAAGGAGGTGACCCATTAAATGTCAGTAATTATCGACAAATATCAATGCTCTCTCTTTTTTCAAAAATTTTAGAAAGAATTAAGTTCAACCAAATATCTAATCATCTTGCTGTTAATATTATACTTTACATAAATCAATACGGTTTTAAAAGAAATAACTCTACTGAACATGCAATAACTCATCTTACTTGTAGTATAACTAATTCATTCGAAAAGTCAGTTTATTTTAGGCGTCTTTATAGACTTATCTAAGGCTTATGACACAATTGACCATGAAATACTGTTTAAAAAACTTGAACGTTAAAACTACTAAAAAGCTATTCTATGTCGACGGATCTTTTTCACAAGATTATCTAAATATAGATTATCTAAATATAACCAGTGGAGTCCCATAGGGATCTATATTAGGGCCTTTGTTATTTCTAATTTATGTTAACGATCTCCATGAAGTCTCAAAATTAACAACTATAATGTTTGCTGATGATACAAACCTATTTCTTTCAAATAATAACATTAAAGTTTTTTATGAACATTGAACTAACACTGACTAAAAATAACTCATCTCCAGCTTCCTTTTTTTATTTATATTCTTTAAAAGAAAAAAATAAATATTATTTAAGAATTGATAGTTTTATTAAACAACCAAAATTTCAAACAAACTTTGGTAAATTTTGTATTTCTTTTCGTGGAGCTGTTTTATGGAACCAAATAATTTTAAAAAACTTTGATTTTTCTCATGAATGCAATTATTACATGTTCAAAAGAAAACTAAAAAAAGTAATTTTTTCAATTGAAAATATATTTATATACTTTTAATTATACCCAGTTTTAATTATACCCATCACTCATTTATATTTTACTTTTATGCAATATTGATTTAAAGTTTATGTGAGAAACTATATTTAAACACCATTATTTGAAATTAGTTAAAAGTTGCACTGATATTATTTGTACAGTAGTCATTTATTATTTATTTGTTTACTTTTTTTTTTGTTTTAATTCGTAATATTTTAAAATAAATTGTCTTACGAACGGTACCCAGCAAGCACAATCAACGTTAAAACAACGTTGAAAAACCGTTGAAATTTATGGTTGAAAAATGGTTGATTTTTGGTTGAAATGGAAACACAAATCAACGTTGAAAAGAAAAAGTTAGATCAACGTTGAAAACAAATAAAAAACCAACGTTACATTAACGTTGATCTAACATTGATTTAACTAACTTATATACAAGTTTATAAATCTTAAAAATACAGCTTTTTGCGCCGTGACTCCGGCTCAATAACCGTTTGTTACACACTCGCAGAAGTGTGGAGTTTTACTCCACACCGGTGTGTAGCTATCACTCCTAGACACAAGTGTGGAGTTATTTTGCACGCTTTTGTCTACATAACTCTACACTTCAGTGCAGAAGTTGATTTAGAATAAATTAATTTTCACAAAAGTGTGGAAAATAACTCCACACTTGTGTCTAGGAGTGATAGCTACACACCGATGTGGAGGAAAACTCCACACTTTCTGCGAGCGTGTAATTAGTGGAATTGCATGGTTTTCAAAAATGTCATTATAAAACTTTTTAATATTGGATTTTACGCGATATTGAAAGCAACATAAATTTAAAATCACAGTTAAATCACTTACTTTAGTTTTTTTTTGTGTTTGGTTTTTTAATTATGTCATGATGTAACCCAGTGGGCACAATACGTTTTTTAAACGTCCTTTGAACGTTATTATTAGGCTTAAACCTAATAAAAACGTCCAAAGATCGTTTTAAAAACAAACCGTGCCCACAGGGAAATATGAACTAAAACTTTCAGAAACGATCAAAAATGGCGTGATGTAATTTGTAGACGACTCCTTATTGGTTTTTTGCGCTGATGAGATTATTATATATTCTGGTAAGATAAAATTGGAGATGAAACAAACGTCTTCAGAACATTCTTCAGTTAAGCAAGTTATGCTAAAAATGTTTCCTCAAAAAAAAAGGTTTCCTCGATCAAGTTACGAAAAATTTTAAATTTTTTCTTTAAACTCATCTTATATTTATATGAACCTCATTAAAATTATCAGGTTCAAGAAATTCCTTTAAATTTTGGGAATACAAATAACTGCATTTTTTTTAAGGTTTATTATTATGATCCAGTAAAAAATCATTAGTTTCAAATTAAATTAATTACATTAGATTGAAAATCGATAGATTCGTTGGAATCAATTTTTGTTATTTATAATTTAGGAATAAAAAGAAAAATTCTTTTAAAACTCCCGTGTAATTATTTTATTGCATACAACTCTAGCTTACTTATTGGTTGCTTGAATATCTCTAACTTTTGCAAGAAGGAGTTTTTTCTCTTCGTTCGATCTTTCGCTAAAATCTTTATTTAAGAATATTTTCTCGTGCCGTAATTTGAATAGTAGTAGTAGTAGTAGTAGTAGTAGTAGTAGTAGTAGTAGTAGTAGTAGTAGTAGTAGTAGTAGTAGTAGTAGTAGTAGTAGTAGTAGTAGTAGTAGTAGTAGTAGTAGTAGTAGTAGTAGTAGTAGTAGTAGTAGTAGTAGTAGTAGTAGTAGTAGTAGTAGTAGTAGTAGTAGTAGTAGTAGTAGTAGTAGTAGTAGTAGTAGTAGTAGTAATATTTATTGCTGTAACAATTACATATTTGTTTAAATATAAATATTTAAAAATAAAATAAATTGTGGAACGCGATGCAAGCATCGGGTTATAGACAGCCCACACAAATTAAAAAAACACAAGTTATGAAAAATGTTTATCTATTCGCGCTTTGAAAACATTCAACGATGTTGCTTCAATGATTTCATTTGGTAACAAATTCCAATTTTTACAAACTCGATTGGTAAAAAAATTATATCTCGGTAAACATGATGGTACGTATTCTCTTTCTAGCCTGTATTTATTGCCCCTTACAGAAAAAGCCGGGCCTGAACTAGTCACGGATGATGCCGGTTTTGGATTTTTGTACCAATTTATTTGGTCTATATTTTGCTTGAATCTGTATTGTTGTATAAGATCTCCTCTAGCTCGTCTTTTCTCTAATGTTGTTAAACCCATTGCTTTCAGTCTTTTTTCATATGAAATCTTTTTAAGTTGTGGAACTAACTTCGTTGCTCTTCTTTGCACTTTCTCTAACTCATCAATATCCCGTTGTAAATAAGGCTGCCATGCAGGTATAGCGAACTCAAGAAGCGGTCTCACAAATGTCTTATATAGTGATTTCACCATTTCCACATCGAAGTATGTAAACGTACGTTTAATTAGACCCAAAGTTCTTTGTGCTTTTGCTGTCGCTGAAGTCACTTGATCATGCCATTTAAGGTCGGATGAAATAATCACTCCTAAATCTCTTTCACTTACTGTTGTTTTTAATTTATACTCTTTGCCGTCGTGGTTCATACAATAACTCGTACGTGGATTTTTTTTACCTAAATGCATCACCTTGCACTTTTCGATGTTCAACTTTGTCAACCAGATATTCGTCCATTTTACAAATTCGTTAATGTCATTCTGCAAAGACTCATGATCTTCAACATTTTTTATAACTTTGATAAGTTTACTGTCATCTGCATATAATTTGCAATTGGAATTAATAACTGATGGTAGATCATTTATGAATATCAAGAATAACAAAGGACCAAGCACAGAGCCTTGAGGCACACCACTAAAAATCTCAAGCCATGGAGACACGTCTACACGTCTACAATAGTTGGGTTTTTTTTATAACGTTTTCTTTGGCTTTGAAATTTAAAAATTTTGTATTAATTGCTGTTTGTTTTTTTGTTTCAGCATTCATTTTTTCTGTTCTGTGCGTCCTCTCGATACATACTTTTGTCAAAGTGAAAAATGAAAACTCACTTTGGTTCGTCGGGTATCCGAAAAACGTAAAGCAATTTTTGTACTAAATAAAATTAATTTCCATACTCCATAACTATCGGGGTTCCTTTGGGTTCTATTTTAGGACCGCTTTTGATTCTATTGTACATAAACAACTTATATTTAGTAACAAATCTTTTTAATTTTTGTTTTCTTATAACCCTTTTTTTTTTCTCACAGAGATACTAAAATACTTTTCAAAACAGTTAACGAATAATAAAGTGAAGTTAATGAGTGCTTCGCAAGTAACAACCTTTTACTTAATGCGGATAAGACAAAGTATATACTTTTCCACAAAGTAAGTAAATCAGAAAATATTCCACTTAAATTACCAAATCTTAAATTTAGTAACTTTTTAGGAGTAAAAAGGCATTTACATTGAAATAGCAACAAAATCTACAAGATTTTACTTTTTTGTATTATTTGTTAAGAAAATCAAGAAAATTGTGTGCATTTTTAACACTTGGAAATCGAAATCACTTCATCCACATACCATTTAAATGATTTTGATTAATGATTGAATTATTAAGATTTGATATTTATGATTTGACTTTAATGTGTTTTTTTTGAATACTGTTGTAACGCGCCAGTAAGCGTGACTTCCAGGGTGTTCCATGGAAGTCAGACGAAACTTTTAGCTATTGAGAGAAACTAAGAAACTTTTAGCAGTTGCCACCATTAGAATTATGGATTTAAATCTGTTTTATAGAAACAAAATAAATTTATAAATAGATAATTAAATTTATTTTGGATTTAGAGACCAAAGAAATGTAAAAAAAAACCTAAACGAAAGTGTCCGGCACAAGAATTTTAAAAGCTTTTTAAAGTAAATTTTAATAAATATCACTAATTTTTTCGAACTTTAATTTAGGTCTTTAAAACGAATTTTTATAAATATTTATTTGTAAAACTTTATAAAATTGTAAACCATATTGCGGTTTAGTTATTTTACAATAACCAACTAAAAATTTCAAGTTTATTTATAGGAAGCCATTCTTGTTACTCTCAGAGTTGTCAATTTAAGCAGGGATCTTATATCTGGGTACTCTACACAGGATACTGGGCACTTATTAAAGGGTACTCTATACAGGGTAACTAAAAAAGGTACTCTATATATATGAAATAAAAAAAAAATATTTTATTGTAACTTTTTTGTTTTTATTTAAGTTAAATAAAAATAGTTTATGAAATTTTTGTAATAATTTCAATACTATATATTTAACCAAAAAAATACAAAAAATAATTAAATTATCATATCTTGTAGACGGAGACTCTTTTTATCACCATTAGCTAGAAGAATTTCGTTAGAAAAAGCAAAACCGAAAAAAATCCAACACCTGACTTTGAAATCCTTATAAACATTTATAACTCACATTTGCGTATGTTTACAACTTTTTTTATAAAAAGAGTTTATTTTGTTTTTTGGCAATATTTTAGCACGTAGTAAAATACTACTCGAAGGAAAAAAGTCAAAAATATTATAAAACCTATCGTTTGTGGAATATTTAAAGGAATGGGATCTATGTAAGATAGCAATTCTGGACCAGTAATATTAGTTCGGTTGTTGTAGAAGCATTCGCGGTATTCAGAATCTGTAGTGCACCTGAAAAAACAAACAGCAACAAGATAAGCAAACAAGTATAAATACTATATATGGTAAATGTATAGAGTTGCCCTAGAATATTTAAACCTATCCATGTTTTCACAAAATATTTCATAGTTTTTCCAAATAAATTTAAATATACTGAAGTTTTTTCAGTTAAAACCTGTTTAACTAGCTATAGGATGATGCATAATTAACTATAAAATGATGCATAATTAACTACAAATGATGCATAATTTTAAATAATTTACTTTTTAGTTTAGTTTAATTCAGCGGTCAATAATTTTTAAAATTTCCAACTATCCGTAAAAATTCTTCAAGTTTTGAAAAATAAAAATGTTTGTTACTTTATTATCAAAAAAGATTTGCTGCATCAGGCAACTGACAGTCTTCGGTACTTGTGCACATGTCACACAAGTAGCATACCGTAAAAATATATTAAAAGACATGCTTTTATGCTTCTCTTTTATCAATTTAAATATTCATACAGACAATTTTTAAACATAACGTTAACCGAGGTTGCGTCAACTAATGTTTGCAGCAGGGTATTCCACTGGAACACAACACGGTTTGTAAAGAATTTCTCTCTCTGCATGCAGTCCAGTACACCAGTCTTAAATAATTAACTTTGATAATGATGGGCGACTCAGTGGTATGTGGAAGTTTATTTTGTCAACTATTTACATGTATTTAAAAATCTGTATTAAATCATCTTCTTTTTCATCTCTCTTCCAGTATTGCGAGGCCTAACATGGCTTTACTTTGCTCAGGGGTTTTATGTTTAATTAACTGTTTTGGTAGCACGATTTTTGACTTTCACCAGCTCGTCTAAGCCTCCCTGTTGGTATTGTGACCGCGTATGGTGAGGTCGAACATACGTGGTGTACAACTCTGTACACCACGGTTTTTCACAGTGGTAAACTACGGCTACGAATTTTTTTTAAGCCTCCCGAACAATCTGTTTGCTTTTGGAGCAGCTGTCGTAATTTGAGCTTTGAGTTTAAGGTCTTCCGAAACTAAAACTCTCAGGTCTTTGAGTTTCGATACCTTCTTGAATATTGGTGTTATATTTAAATGCATCCAATTGTCCAGCACATTACCTTTTGTAAATGAAGTATAAAAATATGGATGCAAGTAAAGTTGGAAAACGCTGCTACGCACCTTTTAAGTAGCTGTGGATGGACGCCGTCAGTACCCATCAATTTGTTCTCGTCCATAGTTTCGAGTCTCTTCTGTATTTCGTTTTATAAACTGCGTCTTTGTTGTACATGTCACTTCAGTGCGTGGTTCGAAATCTGGCATTGGATCTTGTGAAAAAATTACAAAACAGACAGAAAGTAGTCATTTAAAATTCGACATATTTTTATATCTTTAGCTGTTTTTCCTAAACTAAGATCCTCTAAAATGTACATACATACTAATATGTACATACATACATACATACATACATACATACATACATACATACATACATACATACATACATACATACATACATACATACATACATACATACATACATACATACTAATATGTACATACATACATACATACATACATACATACATACATACATACACACATACATACATACATACATACATACATACGTATATACGTACATACGTACATACGTACATACGTACATACGTATATACGTACATACGTACATACGTACATACATACATACATACATACGTACATACATACATACATACACACATTGAGTTTGTGTAGAAATTTGCAGAAATGACCTCTAAAATGTACATACATACATACTAAAATGATCCTCTAAAACTCGTATTCGATCTTTGACATTCTGCATTTTATTTATGTAGGTGTGAATTTGAGTTATGCTTTGAGGATTGAAAAGTTACTGATTCGAAATCTAGAACTGCTATTTTAACCTTTTTATTGACCTGTTTATTACAACCTCTTTATTGACTCTGTATTGACATGACTCGGCGTGTTTCTTTAGAAGGATTTCATGTGTAAGGCGCCCAGCGGCTCGTTGCTTTGCCCTAAGTGTTCTTTTTCTACAATTGCTTCTTTAACTTTCTTTATTACCCATGGGTTGGGGAGTTTTGTTTAAGAATTCTTAAGATTAGGGTGACAAGTGGCGTCCTTCAAGGATTCTTGCATCACTGCTATTGGTGTTCTTCATCAATGACTTATTAGACTGCAATTAAAGCTGTTATTAAATTATACGCCGATGATGGCATGATTATTTGAGTTATTGATGTCAATCAATTTTCCTCTGATTTAAAAAACTGCGGACATCGAAAGCGCTGTAAATTGGTTGCACAACTGTTTTGTGAGTTTTAACTTTGAGAAGTGCAAAGTAATGCAAGTTAGTTGTCAGAAAAACTAATTAATAAAACCATGACTGACATTGATGGTCGGGTTGGCAATTAAATGCTTGGTTATGTCAAGAAGATATTTTAATTTCAGAGCTTTTTAGCAAGGGAAAAGTTGTTTATTAAACCACTAGCTTTTTGTACTCAAGCCTCGTCATCCCTTCTCGAACCAGAAATTGATCTTGTCCAACAACAAGCGCAATATCGTTCAAAATTCTTCAATTTATTCTACAACTACATCCCTTCTTTTTTTACGCTTTCTCATCAAACTCAGCATAAAATTAAAAAAAAAAAGACCTGTTTTTTAAAAACCGTGTTGCAAGCCGTTGGAGGTTTATAGGCGCAAATATTTATAAAATGTTTAACATACATGATAAACATTTTATATATATTTATTATATAAGTATTGTATTATTATTTCATAAAGAACATTTACGAAAATTTGTGAAAATCTGTGTGTGTGTGTGTGTGTGTGTGTGTGTGTGTGTGTGTGTGTGTGTGTGTGTGTGTGTGTGTGTGTGTGTGTGTGTGTGTGTGTGTGTGTGTGTGTGAAACAAGAAATATAGTTAATATAAATATAGTTTAGTAATATATATATAAAAAATAAAGTGTAATACTTAAAAACTTTCTGTGCGTATTCAAACTCCATTCTTATAAAAACATTGTAAAAGTAGGTGTAAACAGAAATATATCGAATCCATGAAAGCCATGTAGGCAACTTCTTTGTAAAAAAACCTGCCAGCGGTTGTCCACCAATGGAAATTATAACAAAAAAAAGAATACATTTATGAAGACTTTTAACGCTGCCACCAATGATAAGCCCTACAGACTGCAAAAATATTAAACTATAGCAGTAACAGTAAATAAATAAAAAAATACTAAACCATAGTAACACTAAATAAATAAAAAATCGTTAAAGGAATTGTTGAAGGTTTTCTTAAGATTTTTTATGTAATCTCATATACCTGAGATACAGCTGTCATTAAAAATACATTTAGTAAGCCGAGCAAGAAAATTGGGGAACGATTCAGCCCAATCACCCAGTATGTTATTGTGTATATCATTAATTGAGGTACAACAAGGATAGATAAATCAACTGTATTTTTTACAGTGTAAAACGCAGATAAATGATACATTCCTGCTGCCCTTTCTTTTGCAATCACTTTATTCTCAAAAGGAACTAAACACAAGTAAAAAAAAATTTATTATCATTTTTATAATTATTCATTAGCAAAAAAATTACAATTTATTTAATATCAATAGAAATACAGTTTCTGATTAGCAAAAATGAGCTTAAAAAAAAACACACATGAAAATATAGTTCCAAATGCCACATCTATGAACAAGTAAGTCATCACAAAAAAAATCTAAAAAAATTACAAAAAAGTCATAAATACATTCTATGATTCCTATAATTTAAAGTACAACTATGTAACAAAAAGTCAATAAAACTATTAATAGGATTATAAAAATAAAAAATTCATGATTACAAACTTTATACCGATCCTTCACGATCAACACTAGAATCTGCATCATAAGGTGTATTAAACCACAATAGTCCAGTAATTAAACAAGCTAGAATTGCCTGAAAAATATAAACATAAAATCATTGTATAAATTTGTATATATCTTTATAATGTTATTATAATTATAATATAATAAATTACTATTAAACAATCGTTATAAAAACTTGTATTAGCAAATCATACATGACTGCAATGAATGCATACATGTCTGCAATAAATGCATACAAGTCTGCAATAAATGCATACATGTCTGCAATAAATGCGTACATATCTGCAATAAATGCATACATGTCTGCAATAAATGCATACATGTCTGCAATAAATGCACACATGTCTGCAATAAATACATACATGTCTGCAATGAATGCATACATGTCTGCAATAAATGCATACAAGTCTGCAATAAATGCATACATGTCTGCAATAAATGCGTACATATCTGCAATAAATGCATACATGTCTGCAATAAATGCATACATGTCTGCAATAAATGCACACATGTCTGCAATAAATACATACATGTCTGCAATGAATGCATACATGTCTGCAATAAATGCATACAAGTCTGCAATAAATGCATACATGTCTGCAATAAATGCGTACATATCTGCAATAAATGCATACATGTCTGCAATAAATGCATACATGTCTGCAATAAATGCACACATGTCTGCAATAAATGCATACATGTCTGCAATAAATGCATACATGTCTGCAATAATTGCATACATGTCTGCAATAAATGCATACATGTCTGCAATAAATGCATATATGTCTGCAATTAATGCATACATGTCTGCAATTAATGGCTTATTTCTAAAAAAAAGTCCTTTAAATCTGAAAAAAAAAATACATGCATGTATGCAATAAATGAATTAATGCAATAAATAAATGCAATAAATGTCTGCAGTAAATATATTATAAGATCAATTCTGCAATAATTCATGTCCTTTAAATGAATAGATGCACATATATAAAAGATCAGATGTTTCCTTTTCCATCCCACATTTGCAAGATGAATTTATTTTAATCAACATCAACCCCATAAATATTTGAATATAGCTAGCTGAAGAACTGGCTAGATCAGAGACGTTAAATCCTTATTTTTGATATTAGAAAAGGTTCCTTGTTTACAAAAACTTATAATATAAAGTATATATTCAATTATGCAATACAAATTGTTTAAATTAATAAAATGCAATCATATGGCCACAGTTCTTTAAACCATTTGAAAAAATTATTAGATTGCTTTAAGTGAACCATTTTTTACCATTAGTAATAAACCATTACTTCTGAGTGTATTTATAAGTAACTGATAGAAGTTTGATATTTTGAAGCTGTTTGATATTTTCAAGCTGTTTGATATTTTGAGGCTGTATTTCGAAGATAAATAATATCCGGGTCAAAATATTTTTTATACTTTACTTCTGAGTAAACATCTTTTATAAATCTTTTGTTGTTTTTTTTATTTATTTTATTATTCATTTTATTATTTTGTTTTTATTTTGTTATTATTTTGTATTTATATATTTATTTTGTAACTAAAAAGGAACAAAATAGTTCAAATTTTATTTGTAAATTAATTACAAGGTTGTATTGTACAAACCAAAAAAACTGGTGTAAAAATTTGTAATGTTTACAACTGTAATGCTTCTTTTTTCTTCAAAAATGATTATTTTATCATCATTGATATTTTTAACAACAATATTATTGCACTGTGTTACAGATAGAATTATTGTGTATCATCATCAAAAATTAAATTTTTAATTTTTGATTATTATATTGTAACAGATTATTTTATCAACAGTAAAAACTTCTAATATGATGAACAATAAAAAGTAACTTCGAACAAAAATTGAACTTTTTTTATTTTATTGTTTCAACTTATTAAAATTGAATTAAAATTTTTATTATTTTTATGTAAACTTGCCATTCATTTATTTAGGATATAATCTATTTGATTTGTTAAGTTTCTTTTTTACAAATTAAGAGAAGTGTTTGAAAAATGTGGAAATTCAATCTACTTTACTTTGCACAACATTACAAAAGTTAGAAAAACTTTTTGCGTGGATTGGGCTCAAAGCCTCTTTTTATCTCACTCACTGAATAAGAAATATTTCTAAGAACATTTTAATTAAGAACAATCAATTTTACTACTTCAATTAATAAAAAAATTGATTCTATGACAAAAGAGTATTGAGCACAATCATATTAAAAACTAAAAATACGAAATTATATTTCTTTTTATGTAGGATATTTTATTTTTGACAAAATTTTAAGATTAATTTTTTAATTAAAAAAAAAAAAACTACTAATTCATAAAAAACAACAAAAACATTCCAAAAGCCCCCCCCCCTTTTCCCCATATTTGTCTAATTGAGGCACTTAATAAAGGTCTCTACACCTTTTCATGATGTAATTGAGAACTTGAAAGTTTTAAATAAGAAATGTAAGATGTAATTAAGAAGATGAAAGTTGTAATTAAGAAACTAAAACGTTACAACAACTCTGGAGAAGACCCTTTCCAAACAAGAAGACATTATTTTTTATGTCTCAGAACACATCCCTGCTTTTAATATTTGCACCATTGGCTTAAATTAGCACCATTGGCTTAAATTAGCACCATTGATTATTGTAACTATTATATAACTAATTTTCTTTGCACAGGTGTTTAATTTTTTGAGTTTAATTGCCTATTCTTTTTCTTTTTGTTTGTCTAGTTTGTTTTTAATATAGAACTAGAAGTGTGGTCATTATACTTTTTTCAGGTCTTCTTCAGATTGACCTTTTGAGTAATGCTATTCATGTTTTTTATGCACTTATTTCTTCTTTGCGTTTATCATAACATTCATCAAATTTTATCTGAAGCTTTTATGCTTACACTTTTACTTGCATAAATAGAAAATTTGTTTGTTTGTTCCTACTGATTGCAAAGATCTATATTTCTCTGTAAAAAATAACCTTAAAGCTGTATTCTAAAGTTTCTTTATCATAAAATCTCTCTATAATATGTAAAAAATACATTGACATATCCTAAGCACTTTCTAAAACCTGGCAAACCCAGCACATTCTATAAACTGATTGTACTTTCTTAGCCTGATTTGGCTCTACAGTAGTCAATAACCTTTTTAAAAGATGTTTAATAACAAACTTTATTTTGCCATAGGCATTGAATACTTTTGAAGATAAAAGAGTATAAGTTATCTCCTAACAAAACTTCTGGTTTCTTTTTTAAAGAAGGTTAAACTATAATAAAAATACAAAAAACTTATTTTATTTTTCTCTTTTTTTTCTTCAAAAGACATCAAACCAACCACTTTTGTTTTGAAGTACCCTTTAAGACCTCACCAAGTTGACCACAGGTCAACTTAGTGAGGTCACACAGTATTTAAACTACTAAAGGTTGTAGAACTTCACCCAATGCAATACTTAAAATCATACAAGAACTACTTTTCTTAGAAATGTTTCTTATATTTGTGGGATATATATAACCTCTCTTTACCAAGCATTTAAATCAAGGTCATTAGTCATATTTGTTTTTTCATAGTTGTATATGTTGCCAGGAAGGACATTTTGTTTAGAATAGATACTGAAAACTTTAATATTTTTTCATTAATCATTGCTCAAGTTTTCTTTATGTTTGAAACAAGTTTTTTGTGAGCTCTTGAAAGAATAACTCATTCACTAAGTTATGGGAAATGATTGATGAGGATATAAGATACAAAATGATTTACCAGGATATAAGTTTTATTTGCTTTTTAATTTGTAAAAAACCATTCTTTGACTGACACCTTGTTTAGCAGCAGTTTGCTTTTATATCAGCTTTATATATTATATCTTCAAGACATTTGGATAGCCCAACATCTGTACAGTCTTTGTATTATCTGGTTTTGTAACAACTTAACGCAAAAGAAAATTGTTATTATTTTGATTTGACCCTGATTTACCAAAGAAATCAATGGAAACAATACAACTATATGTTATAACTCTGCTCATAACTAATTTGTTAAAAATTACAAAATGCATTATTTTTAAGTGATTAAAAAAAGTAGTTTATTTATGAAATTTTTGTTCTTAAAACCAACAAAATTATAAATAATTTAGGCAGTTCACAAAATTATTAATAATTTAAGCAGCTCACCTTTATGTTAAATTTTAATCACAAATAAAAGTTGCAATCAAAAATTGTGAACAAAAACAACAAAGGTTGCAAAAAACAATTTTTTGTCCTAATTCTTTTATTATTTTTTTTTTACTATTATTTTTTTTTCTTATTATTGCTTACTTGGTGTAGTTAAGGCACTTTTAAAATATTACATATTATAGTCTGTAAGATATTTTGTAGACTACGAAATTTTTCAGGTCTGTAAATTATGAAAAGATGAAAAATATTAAAATGATAAATTTTGCAAAAACTTAATAAAATATAAATGTTGGTAGCAAAAAAACCCAGACTGAAGATTCTTTTTTTTTTCAAAAAAAAAAAAATCGTTTTAAAATCACAATATGATCTGTTTTGATCGTTTATTGCCAATATTCTATAATTAAAAGCTCTTTCTTGGTCGGAATTCTAGTATTTTTTGTGAAAATTGATAGAAATATTGTGTTTTGACAACTATATATAGTTAATTTACATCAAAACAGGTTAGAACTAGGAACAGTAGTAAATTTAGGAACTTTTTCAAAAGATTTTAACTAAATTTATGTTAATGCCGATGAGCGGAATTGATCTAAAGACTCCAGAATAGTGTTCTTTAGATTCACTATTACAGGTAGTAAAAAGGTTTTGAAAATTATTTAAAAAAAGAAAAGTTTCTTTAAATATTAAAAAAGTCTTAAGCAAAAAAAATTATACCATCTAAAGCTTTTGTTTGGACATAATACAGTGATAAAATCATGTTTATTCCAAATAAAAGTATTCAAATAATTTGTTAATCGCCTTAACTACACCGAGTACTAAGTCACTATTTAATATTCTCTAGTTTTAATTTTCATATTCTGATTTTCTATTCAAATTATGTCTGTGCATTCATCAACCGACTTGTGAAAATTGTAACATAGCAACTACTTCTTTCCAATTATCACCTGTATAAAAAAATAATGGGTTTAAATAGCATATTGCTTATTTTAAATTAATGGAGGTAAATAAAAAAATCTTTTATGAATGTTATTTACCTGCCCAAGGTCGAGAAGGCCACTGTGAAAGAGAATACTTTACTGATTTTAAAACCAATCAACTCTTTAACTTGAAGTTGAGTGTAATACTACTAGAGACATGGTGGGAATCGAACTCGGAATTTCTTGCTTGTGAAGCAAGCACTCTAACACTACACTACTACCACATGTTTTTCAAAATTCAGCATTAATACTTGAACTGACAACTTCATTAACATGTGCAGCAGTAGACAACTTCATTAACATGTGCAGCAGTAAACAACTTCATTAACATGTGCTGCAGTAGACAACTTCATTAACATGTGCAGCAGTAGACAACTTCATTAACATGTGCAGCAGTAGACAACTTTATTAACATGTGCTGCAGTAGACAACTTCATTAACATGTGCAGCAGTAGACAACTTCATTAACATGTGCTGCAGTAGACAACTTCATTAACATGTGCAGCAGTAGACAACTTTATTAACATGTGCTGCAGTAGACAACTTCATTAACATGTGCAACAGTAGACAACTTCATTAACTTGTGCTGCAGTAGACAACTTCATTAACATGTGCAGCAGTAGACAACTTCATTAACATGTGCAGCAGTAGAGTTGTAGGACTTTTAGCCTTTAATCAAAAGGTTTGAGGTCAAACCCACGATATGTCTCCTGAAGTACGGCACAACCCACGATATGTCTCCTGAAGTACGGCACAAGTTATAAGCCAATACAGTAATTATCAAGATTGAAGGTATGAAAACAAAATATATAAATGTAATTATCGTATAAAAACTTAATTATCAAGATTGCAGGTTTGTAGGTTTCATTATTTTTCATTGTAGGCTTTTGATTACTGTCTAGAACTGTAAGTGTTTAGCTAAAAAAATTTTTGAGCAGGATTTCAAAAACAAAAAAAAACAATTGGTTTTTTTTATTACAAAATGATATCATTTTTACAAAACTTCTTTCTATATGATGATTACTAATATCAGCATTAAAAAAATATTCACAAAAGTTGTTTTCTTTCCAGAGAAGTTGCATCTGTATTTAACTGTATTTAATTGTACATTTGGTTGAGATCATAAAAAAGACAATCAGGAGTTGCAATGAAAATAGTGTTGGTGTATACAAATAACTCTAATTATGTATCTGTTTCTTTATTTTTTTAAATTGCTAAAAACTCTAGTTTATGCTTTTAAGTAAACAAGAAGTGTAACTTATAGTGTAGTTGCTTTAAACTACATATCTTACCTTGCATAGATAAAAGCAAAATAAAATTGCATAGATAAAAGCATAGATAAAAGCAAAAGTTAGATTAAAAAAAAACAACTAAGAACTAACCTGTGTAAAGTAAATTGCATTAAAAACATCTCCTTTTGATTGAACAAATGATCGGTTCCACAAGGCCAATACTTGAGTCTGGTATGAAGTTGGCCATTTATTTCTAACGATTTCAATTTTAGAATGCTATTTAAAAAAAAAAAAAAATTTAAAAGCATATTAACTAAGAATTTCTAAAGAACATAAAAAAAGTGGAAAACAAAAAACTTAAATATATAGAATAGGGGTGGAATTTTTTTTAAAATGACGGCCTTATAAGTATTGGTGGAGTAGTTATCTAAAACTCACAAAAACAAAAAAATTAAATATATAAATGCAAAAAACCCTCTGCTCAAATCTATTTTAAAGTATCAACAAAAGTTGCTTAAATAACTCATATTGTTTAATATATTGTATATTGTTTATGTTTAAATATAAACTGTATTTTAGATGTATAAGATATCAGAAAAAAATTAAATTGAACAAATTAATCGCCCTTCGAATACTTTATAGCCAAGAAATCATATAAAAGGAAATTTGGTTTATGTAAGTCAAAATAGATATTAGAAAAATATCATTTCCTTTTAGAATTGGGTAATATTCCTAGATCAAGTGATGCTATGAAAAAATCTTGATTGAAGTTTCTCAATTATGGGTTAAAATGATGATACCATGTTTTATGGAGAAACCTGTGCAAAGAAAAGTAAAGTCTGCTATTCAAAATTATAAATTTGTTATTAAATCAACAAAAAGTAAAAATAAGAAGACAAGTATTATAAATAGCTGTGATAAATTATTTGACTTATTGCCCAAAAATGCTAAATTTTAAAATCTGGAGGACAAACTCTTTTATAAACTTCAGAAATCTTCCAATGGGTGAAAAGGTCAGTACAGTATTGTGACATGTGCTTATTACACATCCATGAAACTTGCTACCTAGAAGAAAAAAACTTGAGACAAATTATAGTCATTTGTTTGATGATTTGTCAGACAGTTTTAAAGTGAAAGCTCAGAAGATACTAGTAGAAATAATGGTTACAGAGTCCCATTGAAACGTGCAAAGATCACGGGTAAAAGCTAAGATATCTGAAAATGATGGGTATCCAATAAGTTGTATGGCAAAGATTGCAAAAGCTGTACTCAATGCTGTTGGTGAGACATCGATTTGCAGATCCGCAGTCCAAAAAGCATCTACAACACTAGTGCATGAAATGAGCTTGATACGGTCTTATATCAGTTCTTCTGAAGAAATATGGTGCTTACAATTTGATGGTAAGAGTATTGATAAACATCATTATTATAGCACTTGCATTTTAAGTAAGTATAAATCTTTGGTTATGTATTTGAAAAAGTTATAGAAAGGCAACTCTGTTTCTATTAATAACATACACATATATATGTATAAATGAGAAAACACCTATCTTAAAGTGTTAAATATTTTAGCCTCCTCTCCCTCATTGAAAATGATTGATGAATAATTTAGATTAATAAAACCCAAAAAACAAAGATACAAACCTAGTAACTAGCAAGAATGTTTTGAACTAGGTTTGCCAAAATGCGGTTATTTATGTAGGAGAGCATGGTACAAATCTTAATTTAAAATGTTTTTCACTATGGTCTTCTTTGTAAGCAACTAGAAAATGACAATTCTATTTTAGACATTTATAAGACTTTTACAGATCTTTAAGAAGTCTAAATTTCTTATATTTACTTTCTAAAAACTTTAAGTGTTTATAAAAACTTTTTTGATTTTTACTTTTATGAAACCAAAAAAATTATCAAAAAAGATACCTTTCTAATTGCCTGTGTTTGATTATCTACTTGAATGTCTACAACTTTGCATTCATCACTAGCATTATTTTCAAATGCATTAAGAATAATTTCTGTTACCACACAATTACTTTCTTGAACCATGTTGCTTCTTAACAAAAAAAATAAAACAATATTTAAAATAAATTTAATTTATGTTTTCAAACCAAACCTAATTGTAGGTTTTCAGGGGCACATATTAGTTCTGTTGAATTTATTCTCAACCTTGAAAAAATTGTTATAAAGACATGTTATATATCGTTGGAAAGCTAATCTTTTCCTCTTTAAAATTAGTAATTGTTTTTTTTTTTTTTATTTTGCGGAAAAAAAGTTGTGAGGTCACAAAGATTAGCTGAAAAGCACAAAAATTGACGTTTTTGGCAGAAATATATCATTCTATTAAGCAAATATAGTATAATTTTAATGTTTATTACTCCTAAATATTAGTAGTTGGTTTAATAATGAACTGAAAGCTAAATAATAACTATAAGTATGAGGGGGGACTAAGCAAATTATTCTAAAATTTGACATAGAGGTGTGTGTATAAAACAAATACTCCTCTATTATATATTAATACTTTTAAACATGATTATTTGGTAAAGTTAACAAGATTATGTTAAAACATGTTTACAGAGAAGTTTATCTTGGAAACACTTAAAAAAGCATTTAAGTGAATCAAAAAAGGTCAAGGTCACTGTCACTTGACATCTCCAAATACCCACTTGATGGTATACTCTCAATCTATGGTAGTAAGCAGCTCTAGGAAAAGGTGGAAAAACAGAAGGGTTTGTGTGAGCCAGATCAGAGTTTACCGTTTCCTTGTACTTTTGCTTTCACATTTGTTGTAGATTTGTTGTTGAGAAATGTAGCAGCTGAAAGAATTGAACTGATGCATTTCCAATCTCATCAGGCAATTTATCATTGTTGTTAAAAATATTTGCTGCATTGCACAAATTTTTTGCTCCAAGCTTTCTGAAATTTAAAGTTTTTCTAAAATTGTAAATTGCTGATGTTGTATCACAACCTGTAAACGTGTGTGCGAAAAGAATAATGTTAATGACATGTTTTGCTGTACTGCTAATAATCTGATCTATTTTATAACATTCACACTGGCAACAATGTCTCTTTTTCATACATGCTAAATATATTTTATGTATAGATTCAACTGATTTAAAGTGGTGCAACAAGAGGTTAAGAATATCGCTGTCATCTGCAAAGATTGTGACAGGCTCTGTTTTAAAAAAGTGCGATTTTAATAATTATAGTATCTGTGTCAGAATGACAAACATACACAGTTAAACCTCTTTCTCTTAACTTAACTTCTAGAGTTTGCATAAATGATTTTTTTGTTGGCGCGATTGGAGAAAAATTTTCTTCTATCAGACAGACAAGGATTGCTTTTATGTATTTTAACTCCAAATTATGTTAAAGATTCACGCTTTATAGGAATGTCTTTTGTAGAATTTTCATATCTATCTCATACTAATACACTAACTTTAAGGTAATTTAGAAACTTGATACACTTTTCAAAAATGTTATCAAATATTTCACCCTTGTTCCAATCACAGTAGTATAAAAAAGCGCCACCATCAGCAACTCTTAAAGAATTAGGAATAGATATAACTGTCTTTTTAGGTAATTTTTCAGCTTGAGTTTTTGAGCACTGCGCATAAGACCATCTTTAAAAAATGGCATAGGGAACAAAGTTAGTTTATAGTAAAAGTAGTCTTCAAATTTCCTTTTCTGGTTTTTTCTCAACGATAACTGACAAACGTAAAAATTATGTCAAGAGATCAACTGATACATTTGACTTTAATATTTGTTGAGTTTAATATTTGAGTAGAGTCCTTAAAGAATTTTAAGTTAATTACTTCTCTTAAAAGGTTACTTCTGTGTATGCCATATCATTCATTTGTGCCTGTATTAATATACTAATGCTTTCCGAACAATCACAAGTCACCTGATTAAATTCATCTACAAGCCCTGAGCCCTCTTTCTTTCATCAAATGGGCTATGAGAATCAAAGCATGACTTAATTTTCTTAAAATCTTCAGAGTCACACTTGATCTTTCCTGCGCAAAATTCTTTGTGTTCCTTACTTGAGTATCTTGGCTAGGTTAATGATTTTCCTGCTTCTGTCTGTTCTGAGTTTACAGCAAATATAATGTAAATTTGCTGCATTTAGTTTTTGCTATAAATGTCTATTTTATTCATAGCATTTACTAATTTTTACAATAACATCAGTTGTTCTATTGACAAATTCTAAGTCAATAAAACAGGAATATTTATTTTTATGTAAACCTATACATTAAACCTTTCCAAATATGTAACACATTTTCAGTAAATCCTTTGCCAACAACTCCTCCTTTGCCTTTCAACAACATCATTAATATCTGTTCTATTGATTAATCTGTCTAAATTTCCTTATTATATCAATATTAAATAATTCTCACTTTTAATTATTTTTAAAAATAATGAAGTTAATAAAATGGTTTAATTTAAATATAAAAATAGAATTTTCAACTATATTCTTATTAAAAACATACTTTTTAAATATGTAAATTCTTGAAATTTTATTTGAGATAAAACTGGTACGTCAGAGCTGTAAAACTGAGGGATTTTAATCTGGTTGTTAAATTTTATGTTGGACCAATTATCTTTCCTATCCCTAGGTAATCTTTTTTTATTTGAGTGTCCAATAAAATTACTATTAGCAATTGATATAGAACGCACAACCAATTGCATAGAATCTCCATATTTTTCTTTTAATATATTTTGAGTCATTTAAAGGCGAATATATTTCTTCTCCTATTGTTTGCATCATTTCGTAAAACTCAGACACTGTGTAAAGATCACCTATTTTCATAATAAAATCAATACATTCAAATCCAATTTTGACGCACATTCAATAAATTTTTCAAGAGCTTCTTGGTTAACAACATCTCTTACAAATCTTGCTCCCACTTGGTTCAACTAATCTCCTTCTAATTTCATTTTACCACATAATACACATACAGAGGATTGTATGTGTATAGTGTAAACACCAAGATAAGTTATTTAGTAAAAATTTTTTGACTAAAGTTGCCAAAACAAACATTTTTATTTTGAATACATAAAGAATACTAAATTCTAATAACATTAGAATTCGAAATGTAAAACTGCAACTTTTTAATACCTCTGCCCATTTTTACTTACAAAAACACAGTTTAACAAAAATATTTGAAAAAACAAACAAAAAAATAAAAAAAAGGTACTCTTGCAAAAAAAAAAAAAGGTCATCTAGGGGCCATGGCCCCCGCGGTTCTGAACGCCATGATTCTAGTAACAAAAAAGATAATATACTCAACACTTTTACATCATTTAAATATAAGTATAATTATAGTTACAATGCAACTTATGGTATAGCATGTTTAAAGTTCATTAGTAAAATTTAAATTTCGTATTTTACCCCCTAATCTTTGTGATGTCATAACTTTTTTTTCCCCTAAATAAAAAAAAATACCAATTTCTAATATTAAAGAGGAAAAAATAAGCTTTCCAATGATATATATAACATGTCTTTATAATTTTTTCTAGGTTGACCCTTTTTTCGGTGAAATTCTACAGGACTATGTGTAAACTAGGATTTAGTTTTTAATAACCTTAACAGGAAATTAAACAATTAAATATAGTTGCTTGTAAGCAACCATATAACTATTTTTGTTGCTATGGTTTTAAGATTGACATCTATAAAGCTCCGATTAATTTGTTATATTCTTTGTAAGAATGTCTTAAACAATAAAGTAAAAATAAAGAATAAAGTCTTAAACAGGTTTTAATGATGCCAAATATATATATATATATATATATATATATATATATATATATATATATATATATATATATATATATATATATATATATATTTATATATATATATATATATATTTATATATATATATATATATTATATATATTTATATATATATATATATATATATATATATATATATATATATATATATATATATATATATATATATATATATATATATATAATATATATATATATATATATATATATATATATATATATATATATATATATATATATATATATATATATATATGTATATATATATAAATTTATAAACAAAGAAACTATTAAATAAGAAGAATGAGTTGGAATCTAAATGTAAACATAGAAGCAAAATTCTCATTTCAAAATGCGATACGGATGATTATATTTTATATTTTTCTTTTATCTTTTTTGTTTTATTTTGACAAAGGAGCACACTCCACAGTAACTTTATATTTTTGAGGGTTTTTTTGTTTCTTGTTTTGTATTACAAGTTTTGTTTTCTTAGTTTATAAACTTATATATATATATATATATATATATATATATATATATATATATATATATATATATATATATATATATATATATATATATATATATATATATATATATATATATATATATATATATATATATATATATATATATATATATATATATATATATATATATATATATATATATAATGCTTTACTAATTAATATAAATAAATCCTATTTATTAATTTATTATTAAGCACTCTTATATGTATTTTACTGATGATGAACTATGTAGTTCGAAACATGTATAACATACATTTTAAAAGTGTTTTTATTCAAATATATATATATATGTATTTTATTCATATATATATATATATATATATATATATATATATATATATATATATATATACATATATATATATATATATATATATATATATATATATATATATATATATATATATATATATATATATATATATATATATATATATATATATATATATGTATGTATATATATATATGTAACAATAAATTCATGTTTAGATAAGCCCTGTGACCACACTAAAATTCCCTGCCATCGGGGGCTTCAATACATACATCAACTATCTCATATGCCAATATATACATGGCATGTCTTATTTCATAGGTCAGCATACTATGCTGCTGCATTTTACACTTAAAACTGTAAATATTCCATTTAACTATAAAATATTTCCAAGAGTGCTTAACTCCTTTATTTCAGCTTCAAATTTTTCTAAAATTGGTCTGAATCCATAAATTGCAAAATCATGAGTATAGCCCATTGCTAACAAATGAACATTACCGAAACAAGAGTTAAATGCTGGTGGAAAATATCTATATATATATATCTATATATATATACATATATATACAAATAGTATTGCGTACTATTGTAAGCAATCTGATGTCATACTGAGATAACCTGTTGCTAGGGGCTTCAGTACATACATCGACTGACAAATAGCCTGACTCGCAGTGAAGTGCTGCTACATACAGGGTTTGGGACGGGGAAGCAATTGTTTCATCTGTGTGTTTGCATACATTTACTTTTTTTTTTAATTAATAAGAACATTTATTTAATTTTTTCTTCAACAGCCTGTTTCTCCTTCTGTAGGTTCATCTGGAAAAATGTCTAAATATCAAAAAGTTCAAAATATAAAAAAAATATTTTATAGGAATTTAAAAATTGTTTATAGTAACTGTATTTATTTTGGAAACAGTAACTTACATTAGCTACATTTTTTTTTCAAAAAATTAATATTAAAATAAACTTTTTAGAATTAAAATAATTTTAGTTTGGTTATTTGTCTGCATTTAGAAAGTAATTCAGATTTTTTTGTTTAGTAAATTTTCTTAACTTAAATGAGTAGTAATTTCAAATTTTTTTTGAAAAAAATTCAACTCTTTCTTTTCATACAAAACTAGATACGTGTTTTTATTAATTTATTGATGTTATGTTCTTTAAAAAAATCGGGCACTCTTTTTGTAGAATATACTAACATAATTTACATGTACATATAATTTATGTAAATATGTGTGTGTACCCACACACAGATATATATATATATATATATATATATATATATATATATATATATATATATATATATATATATATATATATATATATATATATATATATATATATATATTAGGGCTGTACCGGATTTAATTTTTCCAAATTTGGCCGGAGCAGGATTTACCGGATTTCTATTAACAGATCCGGCCAGAATTGGAGCCAGAACCGGATTTCGAACCAAAACTACAGGAGCCAAAATCCTGTTTATCCCTACATGGTGCTGAAAATGGTCAACAATGTTGACTTTTCAGAATACCAAGTGACAGTTGTTTTCTACTAAACTTCATTTTTGTGGTTAAAAAATTTTATAGCAATTTCTATAGAAATTAATAGGCATTTTATACAAATTCTATAGAATTTCTATAGGCCATATGTTTCAAAAATTTAGAGAAATTCTATAGATTTTTTTTTCCGGGATGTTGTCACTCCGCCACTGTAATGAATTAGTGTGTCTATATATTTCTGATTTTTCCAGATATTGGCTTAGTTGAGTGTCAATGCCTGTTGGTAATTTTTGTTCATGTGCTGTGCCACAAGCGGGCGTAGATTGAAAAATTTCATCTATATATATTGCATTGTAATAATGATAATGTATAAGAATTATCCAGCTGGACTTGTTTTGCTGGATTTTCTTTAGTTTTGTCAATCTGCTGCTCAGCATGCTCAGATTGAATTCAATCTTGCTTTTTTACCTGTAAGTGTTGCCTGTAATGAGAAGAGTTTAGTTTGAAATTATGGATCAACCAGTGTCACCACTATATAAAAAGGTTTCTCCTCAATGCCTTTGCTCATCCAATGACTTGATTAGGTTTGACTTCACAGTCTTTACACCTCCATTATTGCACAATATCTTGTATATATATGTATGTATATATATATATATATATATATATATATATATATATATATATATATATATATATATATATATATATATATATATATATATATATATATATATATATATATATATATATATATATATATATATATATATATATATATATATATATATATATATATATATATATATATATATATATATATATATATATATATATATATATGTATATATATATATATATATATATATATATATATATATATATATATATATATATATATACATATATATATATATATATATATATATATAATATATATATATATATATATATATATATATATACGTATATATATATATATATACGTATATATATATATATATATATATATATATATATATATATATATATATATATATATATATATATATATATATATATGTTTTGCACAGATCGTGAAATCATTTCATGAAATGTGCAATTTTTTGCTCATTTTGAGAAATGGATAGCGCTCTTGCGCAGATTGTTAAATTTTAAACTTATATTGTTTTTTTTTTAATACATATCCTGCATAAAAAATATTAATTATAATAAATATATGTTTTTTTAATTAATAGACTACCTGCCCAACCCAAACCCTCAGTCGATGTAGCAGCACTCCGTTGTAAGTCAGGCTATTTGTCAGTCGATGTAGCAGCACTCCGTTGCGAGTCAGGCTATAAGATAGTTGATGTAGCAGCACTCCGTTAAAGTCGCAAGTTCTTGTTTAAGTCAATATCAATATTTATTAGACATAATATAATTAAATATAAAAAAAAAAACCTGTAAAAATTCAACATTTCACAATCTGCGCTAGAGTGCTATCCATTTCACGAAATGAGCAAAAAATTGCTCATTTCGTGAAATGGATATATATATATACATATATATATATATATATATATATATATATATATATATATACATATATATATATATATATATAAATATATATATATATATATATATATACATATATTCACTTATATATACATTGAAATGCGGTAGTGGTGTAGTGGTAAAACACTCGCTTTATAAGCAAGAGGTTCGGAGTTCGATCCCCACCACGTCCCTGGTAGTTCCGCGCTCAACTTGTTTCTTCGTGCAGCGGCCTTGTTCATCAAGGTTCGTGTTTCGGAGTTATAGAGTTGAGAGAGGGTTATAACCACTATTAGTAGCCTCCTCGTCTGTAGTGGCCTTCCCGGCCTTGAGGAGGTGAATAAAAAAAAAAAGAAAAAAAAGAATATAAGTTTTAAATACTGGAACATTTTGAATCTTTCAATCATTTTTGCTTGAACATCAGTTTTTTTGAGTTTCTCAACTAAAAAAAAAAGTATTTTACTTTACAAAAATGGATTTTAAATTCATTTAATAAATTTTCTGATAGTCAAAATATTTAATTAAAATTATACTATTTACAATTATATATACAACTAAAAAAGTTTTATTAAATTCTTTGAGTAAAAATTTAAAATTTTATTTGGTTATAACATTTTTTAACTTGATTTTTTTTTAAATTTTACTTGAATATATATACTAATTATTAGTATAAATTATTTAAGTTTTTTGTTTCTAAACTCTATCAAGAAAACTTATTTCAAATATAATTTACCACATATCAATACCAACATCTAAAATGTAAAAATTAGCTCTGCACATGAATATTTCTTATTTAGTACATCAGAAGACTCCATTCAGGCCTGGGCTAGTTTATTATGTGAATCTTAACTTCAGAAACAATATCAACAAAAATTTTTGAAGAATAAGCTGTAAGACATGATTAAAAAAATGAAGTAATAAAAAAGATGATATAAGTAAAATAAATTTAGCTAAGAAAATGACTTATTACAAATCTTGATATATTTCTATGAAATTCATTATGTATTGGTTGTGATGGTAAATGTGCATTTTTATGCTTTATGCCTTGTAAGTAAATGTGCACTGTTTAGCTTTATGCTGTACAGCTAAAAAATGATACAATGATACAACTACACAGCTAAAAAATGGTACAAACTAAACTTTTTCTAAAACTTTTGGTGAAGGCTGCAGCACAAGATCCATTATAAAACAAACCAAATTTAAATATTTTTAATATTTTTTACTTAATACAAAACAGATTGTCTTTAATTAATTCAATTCTTTAAACTAAAGTAAATTAAAGATTGTTGTTAGAATCTTTGTGGAGTATTTGAATTCAGGAAAGACTATAAACTTTTATTTAAAAAAAAATCTGCTATTATGTTTATTTTAAAAAGTTAATACCATGCAATTTCTAATGATAATGACTAACCCTATTTAAAAATTACTTTGTGTAAAGTTTAAAAATTACTTTGCAAGCCAAACTTTATGTCAATAGGAAAAACTCTATCCTCACCTCTTCCACATAATGCTTAATAGAAACTTTCTGTTAAAATGGTAATAAACCAGTAGAGAGAAGAATTAAAATTTGTATTGAGTTTCTAAAATAATTTGGTGTCTGTGGTTTCAATTTTATTGGACCCAGGGACACCAAATTATTTTAGAAGACACCAAAATCTATAGTTCCAATGTTATTGGAACCACAGATTTTATAGTTTTCAAATTTCAAACAACAAAAGAAAATAGGAAATAAAACTAACTGAATATAGAAACATCATTAAAAACCTTGAATACACAAAACATGATAAATTTACACCTTACTCTTTCATTAAATTTTACACCTTAATCTTTCAAAAAATTTACACCTTTCAAATTTACACCTTAATCTTTCAAAAAATTTACACCTTACTCTTTCATTAAATCACATGACAATAGGCCTGTTTTAGCCTAAATTGACTTCAAGTCTTTATAGCATACTGATTATGGAATGGTATAAACAAAATGATATGTATGCTTTGCCTAAAACAGCAAATTCTGGGCATCAAAATTAAGCCACATTAAACATGTTGCCAATAATATTCAACAAGCAACTTGTGGCATAGAGTAAAAGAAAAAAACAACAAAACTAAAGGTTTACTAAAAAAATCAGCAGGATTCCAATTAGGGTATACAGGCAATCCAATCGATTCAAAAAAAGGCAAAACATTTGCATTTTTCCCAAAAAACATTACCTAAAAAAAAAAAACGTAACAAAAAACAATTAAAATAAAACGTAAAACAATAAAAACCGCTTTTTTAGTTTATTAAACAATTTATAAAAACAACCGTTCCATTGCATAGCAACATCAGTTTGTCAAACATGTGAAACACTTGACTAGAAGGTTGGTGAATGGTTACACAAATGGCATGTTTTTCTTTTAAAGCAAGATTTTTAAGAGTTTTTATAAGATTGAATGCTGTAGAAGAATCTAAACCAGTAGTTGGCTCCTAATAAAATAAAACAAGCCATGTTAAAAATGATAAGTGCTAATAATAATTTATTATTGCTCTGTTACTTAAAAACGTTTAGCACTCTATTTGTAGAATACACAAACTTAACTTACATATACATATATCACATATATATGCATATATACAAAAAGTTGTCGGCAATCACTTTTTAATCAAGATTTTTATAATTTACAAATCCAAGATATTTCAGAAAAATAGTTTAAAACATGGAAGGAAAAAAAAAACAATAGTTCAAATAGCTTACAGTTTTTTAGAAAGTTTATGTCTTTATTATGTCAGAAAGTTATGTAACTATTTTATATAAATAATTAAAGTACACCAATTAAATTTGTCTCTCTAACCATAAATTAGAAGTAAAAGAAGTGTTTTTACATTAAATAGAAAAATTCCTCACTTAATAAACAAACTTTTTATTTTAGTTTTAACTTATCTATTTAAGTAATACATGTTATCATTTTTATTGGTTTATTATGTATACTTTTGTTCAATAATATATCTCATAAAAGTCTTTACTATATTTATTCTATATACTATAATATTTATTCTATATACTATAATATTTAGTCTTTACTTATAATATTTATTATATATAAAGTCTTGAGTTTGCAAAATTAATTCCTTTGAAAATGTAATTGTAAAATTATTGTATTATATATATATACATATATGTATGTATATATATATAATATATATATATATATATATATATATATATATATATATATATATATATATATGTATATATATATATATATACATATATATATATATTACTTCCAACCTTTCTTGGAAACGATATTTCAAATCCATTGCAAAATTAACATCTGCTAATCTTGCATCTCATATTGTGCTCAACACTTTTTTAATAATAATAGGCACTGCTCTAAAAAGCTAGCGCCTCTTGTGCCATCTACTTAAACTAATTCTCATGTAACTCATTGTTTAATTAAGTCTCATCCTTTTACTTTTACTACTTGTTTCTAAGTGCTCCAAAAACTCTCAACCATTTAGTTTTTTCCTCAAACATCAGTTCTTTGGAATTTGCTTCCTTCATCTTGCTTTCCTGATTCACATAATTTAAAATCTTTTAAGTTGTCTGTCAATCGTTATCTTGCTGTTAACTTCTCTCCTCTTTTCTCTTTCAGTAACTTCCAACAGTAATAGTAGTTGCTTGCAGCCTTGTTGGAAGCAAAAAGGTTAAAAAAAAAAAAAAAGGGGGGGGGGGATAGAATTTCAAGGTACCCTAGAAGTTACTAGAAATAAAGAAGGTTGGCTTTCAAAGATGATTTTAATACTGCGGTTAGAAAGAAATGAATTGAGGTTAGAAAGATATGAATAATTTCAAAGACTTTCCCAGATACCATGTAAATAATAAGCTAATTGAAAAGTCAAGCATGCCAAACTTTATCAAAAGCTTTTGATAAATCACAAGCAATAGTCCTTGCCTCACTGCCTTTATCTAGTGAACAGTTGAATTTTAAATTCACATCAGTTAACAAGTTAACAGTAGAAAAAGAAGACTGAAGTCCGTATTGATTGTCAGATAATAAGTTACTAGATGCATAATGAGATTTTAGAATAAAGACTTTGCTAATAATAGAAAGAAGATCAAACTGAAGAGTTAATCCTACTCAGTTGGAGGGTCAGAGTGTGTTCCAGAGTTTTTGAAAATTGGAACCACAGATACCATTTTCCAGTAGACAGAAAAAAAAAAGATTCATTCAAGCACTTAATAAATAGTTTAGGCAAAACCAAAGAGAGTTTTTAAGAACATTTTTTTATGACTAAGACAGGAATGTTGTCTGGACCACTAGCCACAGAAAATCCTAATTATGAAATGATTTTAGCAACAGAAGCCAGAGCAATTTGAATGAGCTTTAGTGATAGTAGGGTCAGTGGTGCTATAGCCAGGCCATTCAGTGTGATGAGCATTAAAGTGACCCATAACAACAATATTCATTTTCATTGGCTGAAACACACACACACACACACACATATATACACATTATTGTATATACATAAATTATAAATAATATTTTAGATATTTAGTTTTTCTATGTATGTATGTATAAAGATAGTATAAAAGTTTTTGAATAAAATAATTTTAGCGGTTCCAACTGACTCATGAGTATTTAAAGAGTTCCTAATTTTAGAAAAGTTTCAAAAATAGTAATCATATTTTATAAAAACATTTTAAGAAAATATCAAAAAATTAACTTTCTTTATTAATATTGTAAAGTGATAGTTTTGATGCAATAAAGTCTTACGTAATAAAATTTATATAAAATGATTACTTTTTTTGAAAATTTAAAAAAATTTTCCTATATAGAGTAGCAGGTCAACACACACACACACAAACACACACACACACACACACACACACACACACACACACACACATATATATATATACATATATATTTGAATAAATGAATTATCAAAATCTCTTTTTTTGTTCGACGGTTTGTTTCTCTATCTGTAGGATCATCAGGATAGCTTCCTGATGAACCTACAGAAGGATAAACAGCTTGTCAAATAAAAAATTAGATAAGTGTTTGTACTAGTTAATTATTGCTCTATTCTTTAAGAAAATTGAGTATTCTATTTGTAGAATATATATATATATATATATATATATATATATATATATATATATATATATATATATATATATATATATATATATATATATATATATATATATATATATATATATAAATATATATATATATATATATATATATATATATATACGAATTTTAAAAATTACATCTAAAATTATGCATGCGGGATTGGTAATAAGCTCTACAGCAATACTGCAACGTTTTCTTTCACCTAGAATAAAAAGTAAATGAAAAGAACTTGCACATAAATAGATAGAGAACTTCAACATAAAAAGTACAAGAATTTCAAAAATCAAAACAAAATAGCTGAATGCAAAAAAGCACAAGAACAAAATAAATCACAATATCAATAACACTTACACAAATAACATAAACACAAAAATCTTTAACAGATTATAAAAATATAAAATAACATAATTACAAAAAAAACACAAAATACTTGAAAACAAATACAAAAAAATATCCATAAAACTTTGAATATTTTTTGAGGTATAAAATAAGTTATACAAGAATGAAAGTAATAAATTAGGATTTACCCCCTGAACATCCATGCGGATTGTAACTGTCACCTATCACTAAAAAAAAATTAGGAGTTTTTACATGATTTTAACTCCATTTTTATAGTGGTTAAGATAGATAACTTATGAAGATAATATGAAAACCAAATGTTTATATGAACATCAAATGAAGATGTTTTGCAACATAATTAACATTATTAGAGACTGAGAAAAAAATAAAATCTCAGACCATCAAGAGCATCATCTCAGACCATTAGGCGCATCATTTTAAAACATCAAGAGCATTATCTTAGACCATCAGGAGCATTTCAACATAGCTATATTGCTATGTTATTTATCTAAATAATATATACTATTTAAATGCCTGAATATTTACTGAAATTAATTAAATTCTTTCACTAAAATTATGCCAAAAAAATACACTGATAATTATAATTAGATAAGTATTTACCCCCAGTTTCCCATCACTGTAAAACTTTGCAAAACATACTTAATATTAGTATAAACATAAAGTATGGTTTCATATCCATATCATTTCAAAAAGTTATCATTAAAACACACAGATTTACATCCTTGATACACATACTAAAATATATATATAAATAAAATTTGAACTATGTAATCACCAGTGTTTTCACATTTACGTAGACCAAGATCGTCAATCACTTTGTCAACAACAGCAAGTTTTTCAGACCACTTCATGCTGTCAGGGAGTCTGATTTTACCTACAAACTTTATTAAATTGATTATTAATAATTTAGGTGTTAATCACTTAAAACTATAAAATATACATTCAAAAAAATTTTAAGAGTATATCTTGAAAGCAAAATTCTTCTACAAAATTCTAAACATTTATACTTTTTTTTTATTTATTTGTATATATGTCATTAGATCTGTGCAACTAAAATTGCACAGATCTAGTGTTGAAGCTTTTTTAGCTGTACCTTAAAATATATAAATCAAAAAATCATTATTTGAGATGCAAACCACTACGCTCATGTCAACAAGAAAGGGAATACAAACGGGAAAGAAAATGCTGTCATGCCTCAAGTTGAAAGTGACTAAGTTAATGTTATCAATACTGTTCATCAAATATTTTATTAGCTAATTTATGTGGAGATTTTTGACAATTTTTTGTAATTGACAATTTGATGAAAAATATATGTTTTATTGATGATTTAGGAAAACTTTTACTTAATGCAGAAACATCTTAATTCATATTAAACAAAGTTTAAATAAAGATGCCATTTTTCTTATTATGTGTTAGAATTTTAATGTGTGTGTGTGTGTGTAAAATAAAAAATAATATTACCCTTACTTCTAAAGTTTGCCTGATAGTAAGATTTGGAAAAAAGATGTCTTCTTGCATTACATATCCAATTTTTCTTCGAAGCAGCTTTGAACAGTTCTCTCCATTAATTAAAACCACACCACCGCTCAAAACTCCTTTTATTTTTCTGCCAGCAAGTAAGTTTAGAAGGCTTGATTTGCCAGCACCTAAATTTGTAATTTGTTTATGAAATAAAATATATGTATATAAATATATATATATATATATATATATATATATATATTTTAATTCAATTATGACATTATGGAACAGTTAAAGCAATTCTTTACAATCAGATACTCTTGCTGCCATATGTATCAATATAAGTTTAATGTTATGATCCCAATGGTCATGTAATAAAAAAGTATAATAAATAAAAAAATAATAAACACATACCAATATTAAAATAAGTTTAAATATAATTCCACAATAGACGTCATAAACATCTCTTAAATATCAAAATGAGGTGGTTTGCGGTCAAAGTGATAGGGAACTAGAGGATAATTGGTGCATAAATATTTATGATAGTATGAGACACTATGAGTGTTGCAATTGTTTTGCATATGTAGAATAAGAAGCGTCTGCTCATGAGCAACATTTTTGAATTGCAAACAACTACATGCTAGTTGATGAGGGTATAACTAATATTTAATATTAAATGCTTTCTGATGCTAAACTCCATTATTCTCAGTTCACTAAATCTCGCATCTTATCGCAGAAGTTAGGCTCTAAAGACTTTTGGAAAATCTTCAACAGCATTGTTAACAAGGGTAGATCTAACATTCCATCTCTCAATCGTGGGACTGATCTTATTACCTCTCCCAAGGATAAGGCAGAACTATTTGCAAAGAAATTTTCTTCTAATTCCACTCTTGAATCTTATGGACATTCTCTTCCTTCCATTCCAGTCAAACAGGTTGACCCATTGTTAGACATTCAAATCACTCCGGCTTCTGTTGCTAAAGTCATATCTCAATTAAACTCGTCTACAGCTTGTGGTCCAGACAACATTCCTGTCACAGTCTTGCAGAATTGTTCTCTAGAACTTTCTTCAATTCTCTCTAAACTATTTAACAAGTGTTTGACTGAGTCTTGTTTTCCTGCTTGTTGGAAAATGGCATCTGTGGTTCCAATATTTAAAAACTCTGGAGAAAATTCTGACGCCTTTAATTATCGCCCGATCAGTCTTCTTTCTGTTATTAGCAAGGTCTTTGAGTCTTTGATCAACAAATTCCTCACATCTCATCTTGAGTCAAATAAACTGCTGTCAGACAATCAATACAGTTTTCGATCCTCTCGCTCTACGGCCAACGTGCTAACTGCTGTAACTGAAAGATTTTATCGTGCATTAGATGGAGGCGATGAGGCTAGGGCTATTGCTCTCGACATATCTAAAGCTTTCGACAAAGTTTGGCATGTTGGTCTTCTCCATAAGCTTGCTTCATATGGTGTTTCTGGGAAAGTTTTTGAGATTATCAAATCATTTCTTTCTAACCGGTTTATTAAAGTCATCCTTGAAGGCCAACACTCTTCTTTATTTCCAGTAACTTCTGGGATTCCCCAAGGTTCCATCCTGGGCCCTGTTTTGTTTCTTATCTACATAAACAATCTTCCTGACAACCTTTCATCTAAAGTAGCTCTTTTTGCTGATGACTCAACTTTATACTCCTGTCTTGACAAAATGTCTTCTCTTTTCGATCGCCTAGAACAAGAATCTGATCTCACTTCAGTAATAGATTGGGGTTCACAGTGGCTTGTGAATTTCAACTCTAAAAAAACCCAATTGCTTACTGCAAACAACTACCATAATATGGTCAACTTTCCTATATTAATGAATGGCAATCCTCTTACTGAGTCCTCCTCTTTACGTCTTTTGGGATTATCGCTTACTACTGACCTTTCATGGAAACCATATATACAATCGATTGCTAAATTAGTTTCTGCTAAGGTTGCTTCTCTTTATCGTGCTCGCCATTTCCTTACTTCTGATTCCATTCTCTACCTCTACAAATCTCTTATTCGTCCCTGTATGGAATACTGTTGTCATATTTGGGCTGGTTCTTCTAACGATTCACTTTCTCTTTTTGACAAGGTCCAAAAACGCATTGTAAATGTTGTTGGACCTGGACTATCTGCTAAGCTTGAACCTCTTTCCCATCGTCGTAAAGTTGCATCTCTTTCTCTTTTCTACAGATACTATCATGGTCACTGCTCAAAGGAGTTATCATCTCTAGTTCCATCAACTAAAATTCATTCTCGTTTTACTCGTCATTCAGATAAGTATCATTCGTTTACTGTATCTGTCCCTGCATGCTCTAAAAACTTTTATTCATCTAGTTTTTTTCCCCGCACTTCAATCCTTTGGAACTCTCTCCCATCTTCATGTTTTCCTGACTCATACAACCTTCAACTTTTCAAGTCTTCTGTCAACCGTTTCCTTACTCTATAACTCTGTTCTTTTTTTTTCCTAATAACTCCCAACTTAATAGTGGTTGCTTGCAGCCTTGTTGGGAGTGAATGCAAATAAAAAAAAAAAAAAATATTACTATAACTAACTTTCATAGCATAGTATTGCAGTAGTAGAGCATTTTGTAAATAAGTTTTAGAACTTTGTAAATAAGAAGTTTAGCTCAATCCCCACCACATCCGTAATAGTGCTGTTTCAACATTTTATCAGGGCAGCAGTCTTGTTTGTCTTGGAGTTAACTGTTAAGAGTTAACAACAATTTTTTTTTTAAAGAAAAAAAGAGTAACCTCCTTGACTGTAGTAACCCCCTGCTAACTTAATGATAAAAACATTATATATAAAAAAATCAGCTTAATAAAAGTTAGCTTAAATTTTATACTCTCACATAGTTATGACACACTAAGCATCACATAACAGAAATAAAACTTTACTTTTTCTGAAAGATTTTTTATATTTTAATTTTTTTAATATTTCATTACGGAATTAAGTTAGTATAAAAAATTTACATTTAAAATTTTTTTAAATTTTCTTTTTAATTGGGGTTTTAAAAAAACTTATATTTGCAAAATCCTTAAAATGCATTAAATTTAAACATAACTTTTATATATTATTAAATAAGTGGTACATTAAATAAATGAAAAACCAAGCAATAAAAAAAAAATTTTTTGCATCATTGTTTTTATGTCCATAAAAATTGATTGGATCATGTTATTGAAGAGGTTGCTAAATTTTTATAGCTTTCTGTTAAAATTTTTTGCTACAAATTAACTTTTTATGTGTAAAATAATATACTGACAACCTTTGTAGCAAAATGCTATAAATATTCAAATACAGAAGATTTTATAAAAAACAGGTAAACAGCTTTGGGGTTGTCCATTTATCATGTCAACAAAATAGGGGGTATGGAGGGTCTGTATTTTTTTTATTTAATAATAGGAAAAAAAAAATTTTTTTTTTGAAATTTTATTTGGGGGTGGGGAATAGGTAATCAAACATTGATGTAATTTTATCTGGCCTCTGGGGTGAGCGAAAGATACTATGATTCAAAATGAGGTTTTGATTTTTCAAAAAACGAAGACCAGATATATTACTGAATTGGGGAGAAATGTAGGAGAGTGCTTCTACATTAACTAATTTAGGGATAACATGCGAGGGAATGCTGCTACATCGACTGAGGGTTTGGGTTAAGACAGGTATAGATCAATCGATGTAGCAACACTCTTTTACATTTCTCCTCAAATCAGTAATATATCTGGTCTTCTTTTTTTTAAAAAATCAAAACCTCATTTTGAGTCATAGTATCTTTCGCTTACCGGCCTCTGGAGGTTTGACAAGAAGTCACCGTGAGTTCGGGTGAATGGGAACAGCGAGGTGAATAGGAACACAAATCATTGAATTTGTATAGAAAATTCGTATTTGCCGTACTTTTTTAGTTAGAAACATGCGGTTTGCAGCAGTTGGTAGTAAACACATGGTTCCTTTAAATAAGACTTCTTTATGTCTAGATTTCACGGCCATCTTGATCGGTTGTTTTGTAACTCAAGCTTCAATATTTTTGTATTTGTTGGCATCCGAAGAAACTTGTGACTTGGGACCATCAGGTAAATGAAAATATCCTTATATAACCTTGTTGTATTAATAGTCGAAGTTTCTTGTTTCCATTGCTATATAAATCTTTAATGGGAGTGGAATATTATGGAAGTTATAAGCGTGTTTCTAAAACTGTGTGCTTTTTTTGTAGGTTATGTTTTAATCATGCCAAAACTACAAGCCCGACCCAGATGGCAAAAGATACAAATAAATAAATATGGAGGTATCGGAAAATGCTCTCCAAGCGTTAGAAAAGGTATGAGCTATAGAAAAGCTGCGGACAAATTTGGTATTCCGAAGATTGTCATTTACAGACATATGAAGAATGACAGCTTGAAACCCCAAGGTGGTCAAACTGCACTTAGTCTTAAAGTTGAACAAATTATTTTAGAAAAATAATTTAGCTTGTGACTTGTTCAAGGCATACTTGGATAAAAGGGGGCAGACTGTAACCAGGTTTAATAATAATATGCTTGGAGACGAGTTTGCGAAATCATTTTTGCATCGTCATCGGAATGAATCGTCGGTGAGGATGTGCCAAAACATAAAGAGATCGCGTGTAGGTGTAAATGCGGAAGAAATCAATGATTATTTCTATCATCTGGAAGCTTCATTGCAAGGTGTACCTCCACAAAATATTGTTAACTACGATGAGACCAATCTGTGCGATGATCCCGGACGGAAAAAGGTCATAACAAAACATGTGACTAAATATCCTGACCGCGTACTAAACCACAGCAAGTCTGCCACATCAATAATGTACGCGACAGCTGCTGATGGCAAAGTCCTCCCCACATAGCAATTGGACGGTTGGAGGCCCAAATGGTACGCGCTACAACCGTACCAAATCAGGGTTGTTTGACATGGTTTGTCTTGAAGATTGTTCCTTATTTAAAAAAATTACCTGGTCGAAAAATACTATTGACTGACAATCTGTCATGCCAGCTGAGTGCTAGTGCAGTTGAACTTTGTACGAGGTACAACATGGAGTTTGTTTTTCTACCCGCAAACTCAACGCACCTGACTCAGCCGTTAGACGTAGCATTCTTCCGACCCTTAAAAACAGCCTGGCAAACAATTCTACTTGAATGGAAAAAATGTCCAGGAAGAAAGGAGGTTTCCATCCCAAAAAATACTTCTCCCCATCTTCTCAAGAAGTTGACCATAGAGATAGCTAAAAACCATTTTTTTTTTTAAACTAAAAAGATTTTTGATTATAAAATTTTAGACTTTCCTAATTAAGCATAGGTGTAATTAATTGTGTCAAGTATCATACCACTTTATATTATTGTACTTCAATTACAGTGGCTTAGACCTGTTTTAATTTCAAGAGGGTTGGTCAGTAGACTGTATTCTTGGGCTCACTTCTTAAGTGTTTCATTTATGCATAAAACTTTACTTAATTAATTTTATTGCTAATTTGAATCCAATTAATCACTTTAATTTGTTCCAAATTCTTGTGTACAAGTAGCATTGCTTAAAAATGATATATTTTGTTCCTATTGACCCCTTGACTCATGTGAATAGGAATATGTGGCTTCCTAAAATTACTGTTTCTATTCACCCCAATTTGGACGGATATAGGAACACTAAAATATAATTTTTAAAAAAATTGTAAATACAGTTTAAAAAAAAAAAACACTTTTTATTTGCATTGTATAAGTTGAAAAGTACCAAATAAAAAATAAATAATGAAAATATATCAATAATTATGGTAATTATGAAGAAAACAAGACAAAAACTGTCCCTATTCACTCCGAATCACGGTATTGACAAGGTGGAGGGAGGGAAAAATTGACAAAAAATTGTTGTCATAGTTAATGGAATGTCCCTTTTGTTTACCTGTTTTTAATAAAGTAATTAATAAGTTTATTAAATTTTTAGGCTTGTAAAGCAAAATTTGATACAGAGCAGCATACTCATTTTCAGTCTTTCTTTTTTCTTTTTTCTTTTTGGTTTATCACAAGAAAAATTGATCTGCATGTGCTATTTTTTGCAGTTTTTTTTCACTTCATGGTGATTGTGCAGTGAATTTCAGCATTTTCAAATTTTTGGCATTTATTTTTACAATATGATTTATGCCTAACTATGTTCATTCAGGTCATGGATTCCTAATAATTTCTTCTGAATTGAAAACAGTGGTTCTTCTTAAAAACTTTGCAACTTGTAGAACAACTTCTTCAACTTGACAGAAAACTGAGTAAAAAGGTACAATAGAATTATTTGAAAGTCAATTTTGCTTACACTGAATATCAAAATGTCCCTATGTCATTTGGAAAAGAGTTTCATTTGATGCACTTCATGCTACAAGATATCTACTATGTACTCCTAATAATTCTAGTCCAAGCTAATGTTAATTTAAGTTTTACCAAAAATTATTAATTTGGTCCTCAATTTTGTTATGGTTTATTAACCGAGGACCAATATTTATGAAAAAAGTCCTCCAAAGTAAATATAAAGATTTTGTAAGTGAATTTTAGGTCATTGAAGCAACTCCATTATTCATATTTGAGATTGCCTAATGGTCATTAAACTACAGTATCTAAATAACAGACTGCTCCCAAAAGAATTTTAAATTCTCCTAAATTTTTATCTTATTTTTATGCTTAATTCTAAAATTCTTAAGCTTTTTTTATATGGTGTATCTGGGATAGTTTTTGAGATTATCAAATTGTTTTTTTTGAGCCGCTTCATTAAAGTCATCCTTGAAGGCCAACACTCTTCTTCATTTACTGCATTTTCTGGAGAACCTTAAGGTTCGATCCTTGGTACTGTTTTGTTTCTAATCTATATTAATGATCTTTCCGACAACCTTAAATCTAATTTAGATGTAAGGTTGTCGGGAAGGTCTGAGTTTGTTGGAACTGAGTTTGTTGTTGGAACTAAAATTTACAAGCCACTGCGAGCCACTGCGAGCCTCAATCTGTTTCAGAGCGAGATCATATTTAAGATCGGCAAAAAAGCTACTTTTGATTCTAAAGCAATCATTACAATTAGCTTAAGTTTATATGCAGTAATTAGGAGCTATCATCTTATTAAAAAGCTGTTAAATTTTTTGCGTTTTGTCAAAATAATATCATCATTTAATTAAATGTTTCCTATTTTTTATCTGAGGCTGATGATGTTCGGGTTGCATGAAAATAAACAGAATTATTGTGTTGGTCGCTCTTTGAGAATATAAACTAAATGTAAAACGAATATTTCCATTATAAGGCTTTAGTGAATTATAATATTTTAGTGAACTTGTTTTTATAAAACAAGTTCACTAAAACGATCAACTCCACTAAACGGTATGAATTATAATTGAACCTGTACTAAGTTAAAAAAAACTGTAATTAAGTACAAACAAAAACAATTTCTAATGTAATCAATCACTTCTTTTTTCTAAGGCATTCACAGCTAAATATGTTCCACTAGTGACTACTTGCTCTAGTTGCGAACCTTATATATAAAGAAAACGTAATATCATCGGAACTGAGCAGGACTGAGAATCAAATTATTCACGAACACACAGATTCATACAAACAAAGACATTAAATGATACATAAAAATTTAACATTTAGAACGCTACAAACACAAGACATAATAACTTACAAAACACTGAAACAACACTTACTTATTTCTAACATAACCAACATTCACTTAAGTCAAACTTAATCACTGAATAGTACTCCCGTTTCAAACACCACTGTCTGTCTAAATATTATAATTTATCAAGCACTCCCTAGTATTTATATAAAATATTTCTTCCTTCTCTTAAGACTATTACGGCCTGATGGTTCCATATAAGTGGTGGGACTTTAATAACTTCCACGTCGAAACAATAGTGGATTATATGAAGGGATCTCTAAAAATTGTTTATTCGCAAAAATTTTGAATCCAACTTAATTATTTTTGAAAATATTCTAATTTTCACTTTAGCTCATATTGCCCTGCCATACTACTTACCTTTCATGGAAATATACAATCGATCGCAAAATTAGCATCCAAAAAGGTTTCCTTTTTTTATTGTATTCGCCATTTTCTCTCTCCTGATTCCATTCTCCACCTCAAAAAATCTCTTATTCACCCCAGTATGGAATACTACCGTCATATTTGGGCAGGTTTTGCTAATAATGCTCTTTCTCTTCTAGACTAGGTCAAAAAATACATTGTAAACCTAGTTCGACCCTCTCTATCTGCTAAGCTTGAGCCTCTTTGCCATCGTCATAAAGTTGCATCCCTTTCTTTTTTCTCCAAATATTATCACAATCGCTGCTCAAAGGAGCTTTCATCTCTAGTTTCATCACCGAAATCTCATTCTCGCTTGACTCATCATTCTGCAAATTCTTATTCTTTTACTGTATCTGTCTCTGCATGTTTTAAAAACTTTTATTCTTCTAGTGGTTTTACCGCATTTTGGCAATTCAGAACTTTCTCCTATTGTCATGGTTTCTAGACTCGCACAACATGTTTTCTTGACTCGCACAACTTTTCAAGTCTTCTGTGATTTTTTTGCTCTATTACCTTTCAAGTCTTCTGTCATTTTCTTGCTCTATAACTCTATTCTTTTTTTTTTAGCAATTCCCAACTTAATAGTAGTTGCTTGCAACCATGTTGAAAGTGAATCAGACCTTTTTTTAAAAAAAAAATTGTATTTATAATAGAAGAAAAAAAACGGTATGTTTTATAAATCATAATAATGCAGTTAATATATTCCCTCTTCTTAAAAGTGTTTAAACAAGTGTATATTAGAAATTATTTTTTTAGTGCTTCACAAACTGGTAAACATCTTTGGCAGAATGTCTAGAGCTTGAGTGGGTTTAAACAGGGTGGCCACGCCTCCTAATAAACCCTAAAATATCCTAATATTTTAAAAACCTCCTAAAAAGTCCTAACATTTAGGTCTTTTTTAGGTCTCAAACACTTTTTAAATATTTAATTCATAATAACGGGTCTTGAGTCGTTATAAAAAATTTTGACGTTTTAGAGTCAATTTTAGAATTTAACTTTTTTTAGGATTTAGTAGAATCTAAATAAGATCTTGGCTAGCATACTATTTGATCAAAGATTAAACTTTTGAAAAAAGTTTAACAAAAATGTTCCGTAGTAATCTTTATACTTATACATATATTTACATAATAAATTAATTAAATTAATTAAAATAAAAGTTTAATAAAATTTGAAATTTTAGTTTTGTAGTATCTATAACCTTTATTGTTTTTATTACATGAGTATTATCAAATTTATTTAAATAGTTTGTTGCTTTACATGCATGGTTTTGTAAGTTTTTTTAATTTTGTTTTGTGAGTGCTTGCCCGTACCACCACACAGAATAAAATTTTTAGGAGATTGCTCATCAAAAAATGTGTAGTCAAGTTTCCGACATTATATATTAATTATAAGACGCGTTTTTTTTTTTTTTACATATTTAATGTATGTCTTGATCCAGTTTTGCCTGAATGACTTGAATCGATAAATGTAGAAAATATAATTTCTTTGCATAAACTTGTTACTTCTTTCTCAATTTGTTTTATGCATTTTCGTCTCCCTTTGATGGATTCTCCAAAGAACAGATACCGAACAACAATTTGGATTTTAAGTGGTCTTCTGCTGTTTTCCTCAAGTGATATTTCTTCTTGTTGAACAGTTCTTTTTTTTCTGTGTGACTCATAAAATTGTACAAGTTTCTTTATCCAGATTGTCTTGTAGTCTTGTACTCTTAGTAGTGAAAGAACTTTTCTTAAAGGAGATTATAATTGAAGATAATATTTAAATATATTTCTAAAAGGCAATAATGATGAACA